GGCCTCCCAGGGAACAATCCCGTTGTCAAGCCTCTTAGTTGCATTAAGTGCCATCGCATGGTGTTGGGCGGCCAACGGCCAAAGCTTGTCGGGGAGACCCGCCTGAACAAGGTTGGAGCGGGTACCCTCCAAGATCGTCCGAATTTCTCTTTCGATTACCGACTTGTTGGTGTCCACATATTCGCGGGATGTAACATGTCGGACACCTAGGCTTTTGATAGCGGCATGAAGTTCAGGTGCGTTGTCTGAGTAGAAAACGCCAACCGCATCTTCTTGACCTAGGAAGTGAAGAAGGTCTTCAAAACACTGATCGCTTGACTTAGTCGGAGAGGGGTAGACGTAACGAAATTTGGTGAACACGTCCTTAACAACAAGTGCGACCCTTTCGTCCTGGAACCCATGATCACGAAGGTCACGAGTGATGATATGGTCAACAGTGATGTGATCCCCAAAGGCCTTTGACACAATGGTACTTGAGCCCCCCTTTTTGCGGGCTTGGGGAGCCAACATCTTTGCGCGTTGACATACCTCGCAGAACGGATTCTTGGGCCTGTGCGAGAACAAGTGCTCTACAGATTTGGCTTCAGCTTTCAGATCGGCCTCTGCAAGACTGCGGGCGTTTCCTTCGTTGTCACTGTCAGGTTCAACATCGGGGTCTTCGAAGATAGTGAGGCTCAGGATTGGGTTACCCTCCAGTCGGGCAACTTTGTTGTCAAGCTCCCTGATGTTCACTTTATCCTCAACCTTGACCCAAGATCCTTCCCTGAACAACCAAGTAGATCTGACTTCGCATCTTGGAAACCTTGGTGTAGCAGTACGAAACGTCTTTGGTTTGTGTCCGACAATCAAGTACTTAGCATTTGGGTGCGAAACCCAACCTGGTCGTTTGAGCTTCTCTTTGGGGATATCTATCGGCGGCACCTCATTGATGGCCGCGGAGATCTCAGGATCGGGGTGCTCGACCACTGGATCTCGTTCCTCTGCTGCTCCTGCGAAAGCCTCGGCCGGCCCTAATGGGCGGCAGTTTTCTGAAAACCCTCGGACAAAACTGGTCGTCCGAGAGAACCTGAGGCTTCCTCCTTAGCGCTTGGAGCGGCCATTGCTCCTCCCCCTAGCACTGGGACCATACCTCTCATTCTACACCTTAGTCTTTGACCATTGGGCGCAACAAAGTAAGGCGGCCTTTTGGGGTACCAGTGGAACTCATAACCGTCCTCCATGCACCTTCTGCCTACGGAGCAAACAGGAGGGGTGCTGTTGAGAACATAGAACTCTAGCTCTTTGCCAAACTCCGGGAAGTCGATCCTAACCGACTTGTCACCTTTGACGTTACCATTAGCAGTGATGAGATTCACTTGTCGTGTTGCATTGCCTACTGGCTCTTCGCCGAAGTACATAGCACGATCGGCTTCGCTGATAAGGTCCTCCTCGCTTCCTGTGTCAGCAAGGAATTCTAAGGGCGTGGCGATCCCTGGACAAGCGATCTCTGAGCTCTCAACAACGTGCTTGCACATCCCACACATGAGAGAATCAGGCTCATCACACTCTAAGTGGCAATCGGTTTTCTCTCCCCCCTCATGCCGGGCAAGAAGCATCTTGAGTTCCCTTGCGTTCCTAATTGCAACCTGAAGGTCATTAGCGTCAGGCTTAGGGCAGTTTTCCGCATCAGCATAGCAAGTATTGTACCTGCGAACTTTGTAGGAATGTTTGTACCCCTTTCCCTCAAAGGGGATTTCCCTGACTTTGGGTTTGTCGGAAAACCTGACCTTCTTATTTTGTTCTTTGATCTTGAAGACAGTCTTGCCGGTCCACGGCGTCCTATCGCCGGTTCCCCCTCTTCCCTCTTTCCAGTCCCAGTTCTCCTTTGCAATGTACGGAGAAATGGGAAGCGTCTTGATCACTTTGGCCTTACCCTTCAACCTTTCAAGAGCAACAGGACATGACACTTCGGGCTTGTACATAGTACTTCTGTACTTCAAATGGTGCCTAACAGCTTCACCCCTTTTGAAGTCTACTTCCCAGTAGTCTTTGTCCCCATCTTGTGGTTCACTCTCCTCAGGACCAGCTGAGGCTGCAGCCGCAAGCGAGATGCAGCATGCGGCCTTCCTGTCCTTTTCCTTAGAGCGTCCACGGCTTGGTTTCCTGCGCGTTGGCGCGGGTGACGGGGACCTTGGTTTGTCTGGGCCCTTAGGGGCCGGGGCTGCGTTTTCACCACCTGAGGGAGTAGGGCTCGGTTCCCTATGCAAGAAACGACACTTATCTCCCCTAGTGCACTTTCCCTTCTTCCAAAACGTGCAGACCTGTTTCTTCTTCGGGGCAGTGCGAACAGGGGATTGCGAACGGGGTTTGTGCGAAAACTTGCACTTGTCACCCCTGGTGCACTTACCCTTTTGAAAGTCGTAGCAAACTGGCTTTGGGCTTTGTGATCGGCTAGGTGATCTAGATCTGGATGGGGTCCTAGAGCGAGACCTTGACTTTGAATTAGACTGGCTACCGGCAGAGCGATCCCTTCCGCGGCCACTCCTCGACGGAGGGCGTGTCGGCCTTCCGCCTTCAACAACAGGAGCACCAAACTTGTCCCCATGAGACTTGGCGATTCTATCCCTGTTCTTGCGCATCCTTTCACGGGTCAACAAATCCCGGATTGACTTCAACAAGAACGCATAGGAGTGTGAGGCAGAACCCTCTTTCGCCCTGTCGTAGATTTCCAAATCATACTTCATTCTTGAGGACTTTCGGATTTGCCGAAGAAGGATGTCACGCAGAACCATTTCTTCTGGGACATGACTCATGCCAGCAATGACTGATTCCCAATTGTGCAGAAATGTGGTTAGATCGTCACTATGCAGCGTAACCTTCAAAAGGTCTTCTACCGAGTAGAGCGATCCTACCTCTTCATTTGTCTTGAAGTACTGATCAAACATAAGCAAAACCTGGCGCCCTCGTACGGCACGTCCTTGAACCGCCTCGGTTTCCTTGAAAGTGAGTACCTGTCGAGATAACTCACCTTTGGCGACCTTAGTGAGAGCGGCTAGGATTTTGGTATCCAGCGTGAGGAACTTACCGGGTTCACGAAGCTTTTCATGATCAGCATTCTTAGAATACACCTCTAGAATCCAAGAGAAGGCTTCATCTGGTCTATCTGAAGCTGCCCTAACTGCCTCCCGTGTTGCGGTTTTCCATGCACGGTAGGTTTCGGGGTTAGGGAAATCCGGCAGGCGGATGGTTTCAGCTTCTTTAACCTTTGGTTTGTCATCTTCACCGCTTTTGTCTCCTTTAAGAAGCTTGGCGGCTTCAAGCAGCGCTTGCTGCGTCTGTGCGATTAAATCGGCTCCATTAGCTGCCGGACCTCCCGGCGTGCCTGTTGGGGCCGCAAGACCAGGGGCTCCGGCGTTCAAACCACCACTAGAGGATCCTAGATTTGGGACGTTAGCTGATGCTGTTGGGGTCCCTGGGGCAGAAACCGGACCCTGTGGTCCCGTTGGAGTGGCAGTAGTTGCCACACCGCCAAAACTGAAGTTTGGAAACAATGCCCTGATGTTCATCGGAATCACACTCGGATCTGAAAACTGAGGGGCACACGGAGCACTAAGCCCGGCGCTTGGCGCTGGAGCAACTGGGGCAGTGGCGCTGGGAAACTGAGCTTGCTGCGAGGGATTGATACCTAAATTCCTGTCCTGTTCGAGCTGGAGCGCACGCTCCATTGATGATAATTCATCTTGGAGGGTCATGTTTTGAATCCTCATTTGCTCTTCAGTTTCCAGGGCTATACTGCGGTACCTTTTCATTGCCTCATCATGCTCTCTCCCAAACCATTCCCCAATCTCGTTAATGCTTTCCCTCTTGTTTTGTTCAGCCTCTTCAACCAGAGTTGTCCTGAGACGTGTGATTTGCGAACCAACATCGGAAAAATGTTCTGACTGAAAATTGATTATCTGGTTTTGTTGCTGGAGTTCTGAAAAGAGACCTTGGGTCCTCGCGACAAAGCTATACCTTTGGCTAGCAATTTCAGACTCAAGTCTAGCAACGACTTCCTCGTGCTGCCTGTTAGCCCTTTCTTCAACATCTGCGATTTGTTGATCATGGGCTTCTTCAGCAGCTAGGCGGAACCTCTGGTGCCTGGACTCTGCTTCGTTCTCTAACTCAGTGAGGAGAAGTCTTGTTTGTTCAGGTGTTTCACCTATCGTGATGTTCTGCTGAAACTGTTGTCGGTACATGTGGATCTGCGGAGCTCCTAGCCCTACGAAAGGAGAAGGTGCGTTTGGCGCAAACACATTAGCTGCCGCTGCATTCTCTTCCAGCACTAGGCCACGGCCATCCGTAGACGGTGGCATAGCCAAAGTGCCTGAGAGGTCCATCTCCGCGGATTCTGCGTCTGTAAATCCGTCTGTACCGAGATCAGTTGCTACCTCGGTGGGGACCAGCTCGGGGCTGTCACCCATGCACTGAGTCGAAACTCCAGGTCAGTGGTGCCGCAAGCTCCGGGGAGCCTACGGCTGATAACCTATAGTTTGGGAAATCCACCAGTTGTTATCCGTTAAGCCATGAGCAGGGGCGCGCCTAACCTTTTTACTCAGAGGGCTTGAGCGTCACAGGTAAGTGCAACATACATGGAAGCAAAAGTGGAGGGAATGCACAGATATAAAATACATTTGTGTGTCTGTGTGTGTAAGCAAGGGTTTGGGAGTTTGGCTTGCAGGAGCCCCTACCCATTCATGACCGAATGGCGGCAGCTGCGGGTCTTTAGGCTCAGGGAGTTTAGTGTTTAAGGGCATTTTACGGTGCGCCATGTGGGACAGAGCTTGCTCATAATTTCCATCTATTTTCTAGACTGTCTGGACAAAAAACTTAAAAACCTCAACCTATTGATTTACTGAGCTTTCTTGGAGCACAAAAACACCAACTACCCATGAACCTAAAACCCAAAACCCTAAACCCTAAACCCGAAACCCTAAACCCTTAACCCCCCCAATCTCCAAAAAAACCCAGCACCCAGCGGCCGGAAGAATCAGAGCTGGCTTGTGCGCCGGCGCCGTCTCTGGTCCTTCTCCTGCGAGGGTGTGGGGTTTGGGGTTTAGGGTTCAGGGTTTAGGGTTTGGGTTTAGGGAAGGATGGAGAACAGCTGGTTTTAGGGTTTAGGGGCTTATAGGGTTTAGGGTTTTGGGGCTTAGGGCCTAAGGGGGGGTGTAGGGCTCAAGGCTTAGGGCTTTTCAGGTATAGGGCTTAGGGCTTTTCGGGTATAGGGCGTTGCGGGTACAGGGCGTAGGGCCTAGGGCTTGGGGCTTGGGGCAGTTCAGTCAGTGTTCATGGGGAGATGGGGAGGGAGGTTAGCACTTCGAAGTGGGTCGACAGGTCGGAGGCTGCCCGGGTTCATCTACATTGCGACCCCAGTTTTGTCGGGGGGCTCTCGTGTAGTGTTTTCCTAATTCGCACAGGTACTCAAGCCCTAAACCCGAAACCCTCTAGACCCTAAACCCGAAACCCTAAGCCCTACACCTAAAGCCGCCCAAATCCCCATTCCCAAACTCTGCTTCGGGATGACTAGCGGGCTCACGGGTCTCGCTTAGGTGCAGCGGTGCTCGCCCTGCGCATCCCACTGCCGCACAAAGGCATCGTTTCCCAACTGAACGAAATCTTCGTACACCGCTGGGGTGCAACCTTGCCGAACGGGACTTTACCACTTGCTGGCTTTGGCGACGCAACTGCGACACGCAGCGCACCGTGCTCTGCAGCTGGACAACCTACTCCTCCCAAAGGCACACGCACGACAGCTCCGAGCAACTGCGCAGCTTTGCGAGATGGCATGTGCAGCGCGGCCGCAAACTCGACCGTGATGGAATATGCCTGCTCCGTGGCCTAAGTTACGAGTGCAGTTGCAAGTAGCGCGACTAGACTTATAGTTGGATATAGCCTTATTTCGGGCACATACTGGTTGTTTACCCTTCAAGTACTGAAGGCCCCAACCCTAAATCCAAAACCCAAAACCCAAAACCCTAAACCCTAAACCCTTTACCCCTCAACCCTAAACCCTAAACCATAGAACCTTGAACTCAGCAGCCCAGATGTGACAAGCCCTAGACCCTGCAAAACGGGCGATCCACGAACAAATGGCCCGGCATTTAAGCACGAAAGCCCGAAAGGCCTACAACCCTAAAATCCCAACAAAAGCCCTAAAGTCCTAAACCCTAGCCCTAAACCCTAAACCCTAAACCCTAAAGCCCTACAGCCCTAAACCTAAAATCCGGAAGCTAAAGCCCTGCAATCCTGAACCCCAAACTTTAGGGTACAGGTTTGGGCTTTCTAGGGTTTAAGGCTTTGGGGCGTGGGCTGAGGATGTTTGCATGAGGCTTCAACAAATGCAAAAGACCCCAGGTGTAACTGTTTTGGGATTAGGGGTTTCGGGTTTAAGGTTCAGGGCTTAGGGTTCAGGGTTTGGGCTTAATTGGGGTTTAGGGTTTTCTGCTTAGGGGGGGCTTCGGGTTTAGAAACCATGAGCTCATGCACCAATACAAGAAGCACGTTTGCGTGGGAGGGGGGGGGATAAAAGTAGAGTCTGCAAGCCCCAAAACTCCTACCCCTAAACCCTAAACCCTAAACCCTAAGCCCTACGCCCCAAACCATCAACCCCCAACTGGAAAATCCACCTGCGGCAGTGAGAGCGGTGTGCGCTATGAGCTCCAGTCGGTTCTGGTAAGCCTGTGCGGGTTTCGGTTTGTAGCTCATGAGCCGCCAAAAGATGCTCTTTAGGGTTTAGGGTTCAGGGTTCGTTCTAAACCCTAAACCCTAAACCCTAAACCCTAAACCCTAAACCCTAAACCCTAAACCCTAAACCCTAAACCCTAAACCCGAAACCCAGCAAATACTTCAATGATTCTTCGAATCGGCATCGAGACTGTCACATCGGCTTTGCCTGACCTCACAAGCCAAAGGTCATGCCGAGGCTTACAGTGCTTTGGGGCTGAGAGTTTAGGGGTTCAGGGGGATTCCTAAACCCTAAACCCTAAACCCTAAACCCTAAACCCTAAACCCTAAACCCTAAACCCTAAACCCTAAACCCTAAACCCGGGGGCTTCTGGGATCCACAGTTCCACTCCTTGCCTGCGCCTCGTCTCCGTTGCCGTACACCGTGATTCGGTCGCCGGCATCGTTTCCTCAATGGAGGGCTTCGGGATTCCGTAGGGGTTGCTGTTAAGGGTTTGGGGTTTAGGGTTTAGGTTGTAGGTTTGCTCAGTCGGGTTCTTTAGGGATGTTTAGGGCTTTGGGAGTTGTGTAAGGTTGAGTGGCTAGAGCTTCGGGCTGAGCTCGTGGCACTAAAGCAGCCTTAACCCTAGTTGAGAATGCGCAGCATTCGGGTGTGGGGTGTGGGGTTTTAGTTTAGGGTTTAGGGTATAGGGTCGAAGACCGAAAACAAGGCGAACCCCCCAGGCGGGAAAAATGGGAGAGCTGACAAGCTCCGTAGCAGCCGACTCAATAAGGAAGAGTTAACCCTAAAGTCTCTTCTGAGCCCTCCGGTTTAGGGTTTGGGGTAGTGGCTGGCGCAGGCAGCGAAGACCGGCCCGTACTCATCGGTATCCCAGAGCCCAGGCCGGCACCTGGACGAATGAGGAGTTCAAGACGCTGGCGTGGGAGGCGCTGCGGGCGCAATTCCCGGAAGCCCTGGTGCTCTTCCTCCACGCGCACCAGAACCTGGTCTTCCCGGCTGCAAGCTGCCACGTGCTCGGGAGGGACAAAATGTCCCTGTTTCAGAAGCGCGGCGAAGGATTTGGGCGAAGGCAGTGAGGCTTTCATAAGGCTCTTGCTGGCCAGAGGAGGGCCTTTCAAACAAGGAGTCGCTTCGCCCTTTTCCGGATGGCAACATTCCTCCCGATTTTCCTTTGCTGGAATTCGGCAGCTCCGCTACCGCCGTCCCGTGCGGCATCGACGGCGGCGAGCCCGGGCGCCGGCATCGGCACAGTTGTAGTGCAGCCCATGGACCAGCGCCACTGCGGGCGGTGGCAGGTCGGGAAAGCAACTCGCCACCGTGCCGCTGCGGTGAAGAGGTCCCAGTTACCCTCAGGCACCACGCCGTGCGTGCGCAGCCTCCAGGTCCGTCACCTTGAAGAGCTTGAGAGCTGCAGCGAGATTCGCCATGGCTAGCGGGAGCACTTCGGCGCACGCCGCCGTGCGCGACCTTTGGCAGAGAACCAGACGGCGTTCCGCTCCGCCTCGGTCTTACGTGCGAATTTGCGTGCAACCCAGTGCAGGCGGTGATGCAGCACGAACTCGGCGCCCCTAGTCGAATATATCGATCTATATCAAAATAAGACAACAAAGATACCAATATTATTAGAATAAAGATCTGAGAAATACAAGAAATCGAACAATCAGCATGACTGAAGAGAACTTCTATTCCTGGATAACCATAAAGTTTGCGTTATCAAGTCTTAGCTCGACTCTCGAATATGTAGAAGGCCGTTTCGCTCCTCGTCAGCACAAGCTGCTATCAACATGATGCAATGCTGGGAACCACAGTCAGCATTGATTGCATCACGCTCCCAGACAACCAGCCAGAAAGTTGGAACATGCATCCAGGACAACTAGTCCTAGGATCCCTTATGCTTTGCTTTAAGGGCATCAGGACTATAGTTCATGTTCCAACTTTGTGGTTTCTACCGTAGTAAAAAAACTACACACACGCCTCTGCTGTCTTAGCTGCACGGCACTGGCAGAGGCCTTTGAATCGCCGTAGGCAGCCTGCGCCACACCATTATTCAGTACCACATCACATCGAAAGCTAGGCAGAGCTGCAAGATTGCGTGCGACAGCCACCGTCTGTGCATACGGCATAGTATCTATCGACACACCGGTGCTCCTCGCAAGCAGCGGCGGAAAGCTTGGAGCTTGCCAGCCTGCCAATGTGTACTGCGCTGCTTCCAAAAAAAAAGCAGGGAGACGGAGCCTCCGTCTCGTAAAGGAGGCCTTGCTCCAGGCCTCACGCATCCGGGGCAAGTGATGTCAAGCACCCACACAGTTGCCTCCGAGCGTCTCTAAGGCGGCGGCGCAGAAACTCCTCTGCCGGCCTTTCAGGCTGAACGAATTGAAACAAGCGTTCGCTTGCAAATTCATTGACATCCTGCAGCTCGCTGTGTTCTTCTTAAAAGCTGCGTTGTGGCTCCTGCTCCTCTTATCATCGCGTGGAGTTTCCAGCAAATAACAACGTGTATATATTGCCACCAATTCAAAACCTATAAGCAGCGACTGTTGTGCAATTACCACGGCGGCTGATTCTCGAAGGGTATTAATAGGGAAGTGACCCTTTCTGACTGCTACAACACGTGGACATCGTTTCGATTCCTTTTCTCATTGTTCGCGATGTTGTGGATGTATTTTGGCTTTTGAACTCATCCACGCCACACGCGGTCCTGTTTCAAAAGGCGTTGGCGCTCTTTGATTAGCTCGGCCAGGCGCGCGTGCATCTCGGCCAAGTTTTGACCAGGAAGCAAACTCTCGCCGTTCGAATTCTTTTATTCAGCCTCGCAGATCAGGTGGCAGCCCTGGCCACGGCGACCAGAGAAGGGCAGTGACACAGTTCCAGCATATTTACGTAGGGGCAGCAGAAGCAGCAGGTCTAGGACGTGGAATGGGCCTGTCCTGTGCACGTGAAAGTATGCAACACATGACCGCGCAGAAACACTCTAGAAAAAAAAGCAGCAGGGAGAAAGACAGTTCGACCAAGACCTCATGATACAGGAAACGTACCGGACCCTGGCGCACGAAAAGAAGCGCGCTGCACCACATCAACTCGGGCCGTCGTGCTGCAGCAGGCCAGCTCCTCAGAGCGCAAGCAAACAAGGGACAAGTCTCTGCGAGCACGTGTCATTAGGGGAAGAAGAGGCGTCTCCTCCATTCTCCTCCTAAGGGACAGCTTGCGCAGGCGGCGACGCCCAGCGACCAGCAGGGAGGACTTCTCAGCGGATGGGACCCATGGCTCCGGAGGTGGAGAGGAAGGGGAAGCAAACTTGCAGGCTACCAGGCAGCCAAACCTTGCTGCCTGGCTCCGGGTTTAATCAATCCATGATGAGGACCTAGAAACCCCCAAGCCCGAAGCCTGACATGTCCGACCGCATCCACCCCCAAATAATGTGATCTGCACGGACCCCTGTTTTGAGAATGAGATGAAAAAATCCATGTCTTGCGTTCCTACCTCTGCCATGCTGTCGCGGCAGCCGTTGCGCAGATAGTTTGTTTCTATGACATTTGAAATTTCATTGCTGTTTGGGGAACGGTAAATACCAGGTTTGGGAGTCCGGGGTTTACGAGGTTGGCCCATCAAGTAGACGCTAAACTGCGCCGACTCGAGCCAATAGATGCAGCGGATGGGGGGTTGGGTTGAAGGTATAGGAGCTATAGTCTTAACTCCTGAAAGGGGGTGATATAGGGAAGGTACTGCTGGTCCCAGTGGTGGTAACACCGCGCCCAGCCAGCGAGGGAGCTCTTAAAGTACGGACGACCAGTGTGAAGCGCTGTGGTGTTTGTAGTACTGATGGATAAGGTCTTTTCCCATCCAAGTACGGTCTTCCCGATGCTCATGAACAAGGAAACAAGCACTTGCTTCTCGTTCAATCCCAAACTATGCCACAACGCTACTATGGAGCTTAAGCGTTTCCAGGAACAAAGGATAATTTCTGCGTTGAAAGACTTTGGGTATAGGGTTTGGTAGCTTCCTTCATAGTATGCCCTTGTAGTGATTCTGAGTGTGGAGGCAGATGCCACATTGCGCCTGCGCACTTGCTTACATGCTGTCAATGCTTTTGGGACCGCTGGAGAACCTGGAGCACCCTGAGGCCTCCATTAAGAGCAAATGCAGGATCTCAACGCCATCATGATTAGTGATAGTAGTTGACTTACGTCATGCCTGCTCACAGTAATCAATAGGTAGCAAGAGTTGTCTTAGGCCCTTAGTAAGATGCCGGGGATCTTGAACCCTTAACCCTCTATCCCGACCGCTTGAAACAAACTCTCAGTCCTCAATTGGCAACCCCAAACAACAAAACTTGCATAATCAGGCACTCTAAATGATACTACATAATATGATAACGCGCAATGAAGTATGATAGAGTAGACCCTAAACCCTAAACTTTAAGCCCTAAACCCTAATCCTTACACCCTAAACCTCAACCCCAGAGCCACCGACCTCATCTTTCAAGATTCTCCATGTGGGGCCTGGTGGGAAAACACCCCGCTGCAAGCCAGCAGTGATGTTTAGGGTTTAGTCTAAGTACAGAGTGTTGGGCTCTACCATACTTTTGTTACAAGGGTTGCAAGAAAACTACTTGATCAGGCTTCTTCATTCTTCTACGTGGACATGTTGCAAAACGCGACTGCCGTGCCCAAGTGAGTAGGGATAAGGGTCTGGGGGTCCTAGTGTGTGGAGACATGGGGGGAAGGGAGAGGGGGGCAGGACGAGGAACAGCCTACCCTGCGGAGACTGGGGGGGAAGGGGCAGAGAGGGAGGGGATCTGGCGAAACGGGGCACGCAAGCACCTCACACGGGCATTCAGAACAGAGTCGGAAACAGGCGTTACATTGAACTCTGCGGTATCATCGTTCCTTCGTTCAACTGGAAGAGAACAGCTGTTGCAGGAGAGTCCATCTCTCGCCTTTCTGCCTTCATCTGAACGAAGATGTCCTTCTTCATCCCGGGAGTTGTTTGAAAAAGTTTTTGTTTCGCCACAACCTTCATATGAGTTTATTAAAACTCATACCATGACGAAATTGACTTTATTTTACATGGTGGTTTTTCCCTGGCGGCCTTGAAAAAAGATAAGCCGAATGAATTAAAATGAATTTGAAATTAAATTTCCATTAAATCAAAAGTTCACTTGCGACCACGGTGTTTCGCAGGCAAGGTGGTCTCGGGGTGGGTGGGATATTCTCTGGCACGTACAACAACCACACCCGTGCTGCTTTGCGCGAACGTCGACACCCTGCATGGTGTCGGGCTCGGATCAGTCACTCGCGAGATCCTGGAGGGCACTCAACACTCCGGCAGTCGCGCTAAAGAAGCCGGCAGTGGCTCCGTGGAGGCGTGCAAAGGTGAAAAACGGTATCGATGCATTTAGGGTTTAGGGTTTAGGGTTTAGGGTTTAGGGTTTATACACAGCCGAACGTGGGCCCAAGGCCTCTGCTGAATTCATCTGGGTTTTGCCAGCGCCTTCACTTGCACTAAATGGCTGCGCCCTGGTGCAAGAGGCGCAGCTTCGGGTCTAGGGTTCAGGGTTCAGGGTTCAGGGTTCAGGGTTCAGGGTTCAGGGTTTAGGGTTTAGGGTTTAGGGTTTAGGGTTTAGGGTTTTTGGTTTAGAATAGGGTTTAGGGCTATACCGTCCGCTTCATGCGTCGTACATCTGGGGTTAATGGTCGAGAAACGAGAGCAAGAAATTGCCAGCACATCATGTAGGGTACACGAGGCAATTGGGTTTAGCATTTAGGGTCAGAGGGCACGGACATACTGATAGATGGGGATACAGTTTCACATCATAGGGCTTTAGGGTGACAGGGTCAGGGGTTACCTTTTGCATTGCTTGAAAGATTTAGAGAAAGGTTTGAGGCTTTGCAGTGGAGGGCTTACCCTAAACTCTAAACCCCTAAACCCCTAAACCCCTAAACCCCTAAACCCCTAAACCCCTAAACCCCTAAACCCCTAAACCCCTAAACCCCTAAACCCCTTAAACCCCTTAAACCCCTTAAACCCCTTAAACACCCCTTAAACACCCCTTAAACACCCCTAAAACACCCCTAAACCCCTAACCCCTAAAAACCCTAAACCCCTAAACCCCTAAACCCCTAAACCCCTAAACCCCTAAACCCCTAAACCCTAAACCCTAAACCCTAAACCCTAAACCCTAAACCCTAAACCCTAAACCCTAAAACCTAAACCCTATCTCAGGGTTCGAAACGAAGCCAAGCGTCTCGCGATCCGTAGGGAAGGTCGGTTCGTCCACAACGCTGTGGCAATGATGTGGCAGCGCACGGGGCTGCGCAGGGTTTAGGGTTTATTGGTTTAGGGTTGAGGGCTAAGGGTTAAGGGTGTAGGGTTTAGGGTTTAGGGTTTAGGGTTTAGGCTTTAGGGTTTAGGTGTTAGGGTTTTGGGTTTAGGGCTCAGGGTTTGGGAGTTTGGGTATGGCGATTGGGGGTTTTAGGGGTTTTGAGTTTGTAGAGCTTAGGCCTCTAACTTGCCATAACCCCCATCCTACTTCATTCTGTTCTTGAGATCTCGTTAGGGCCTTCCACACACCTAGCGCACCGCACAAACGAAAATAACACGTTTTAACAGTGCTCCCGGAGCACAAAAGTGACGACCAAATGATGGCCGAAGATTGACCAGGTAATGACCACTTGCAAGCCGAACAACGAAACACTAAACCCAAAAACCGAAGCCTTAAACCCTAAGTTTCGGGACATGATCCCCCAGAATCAACCCCACAAAAGGGCCTTCTATAATGGCCCATCCAAGCAGGCTCCCAAAGTCAACCCCAAACCCTAAACCCGAAACCCTAAACCCACGATAAGGGCGGGTGCCATAGTCTCCAACCGCTAAGCCACCCAGTGCCTCGCCAAGAAAGGATAGCCGTGGCCTGCGGGACAGGGATGGCGGGGTTTAGGGTTTAGGGCTAGGGTTTAGGGTTTCGGTTTAGCGTTTAAAGTTTAGGGCTAGGGTTTATAGGGTTACGGGTTTACGGCTTAGTGGGTTTCGGGTTTAGGGTCTAGGGCTTGGGGCTTTGCCGCCTGGTCAGAAAGAGAGAGATCTTGAGTCAAGGCATGCCTTTCCTCGTGGGAAGGACTCGCAGCTTTGCAAGGCTTTTGGGATTTCGGGCTCATGTGATCAGTTCTCTAACCCTAAACCCTAGACCCTAAACCCGAAACCCTAAACCCCAAACCTTTTGGGAAGCCACCTCAACCTTTCAAGTCATGATACACTTTAAATGGTGGGCCACTTGCCTCCTTGTTGAGAATCTGGCTTCAAGGTTTAAGGCTTAGTAGGTTCCTCATGAAGGTGCAGATTTGGTAAATCACAGGTATCCAAATCTAGCACGCGCATTCAAGCCCCATGCTTTCGAACCCTAAAACTCAGAGTAACGGCAACGTAGCTCCCACTAAACCCCAAAGCCCTGAGCCCCAAACCCCAAACCCTAAACCCTAAACCCAAAACCTTAAACCCTAAACCGTAAACCCTAAACCCTAAACCCTAAACCCTAAACCCTAAACCCTAAACTCTCTGACTCGTGTGAGCTGACAGCCCCTAGAGAGCCAAGCCTTGCGAGCCACGGATGCAGGAAACCTGGGTTCAGGGGTTTGGGGTTTCGTTTAAGGTTTAGGGTTTAGGGTTTAGGGTTTTAGGGTTTTAGGGTTTTAAGGTTTTAAGGTTTTAAGGTTTTAAGGTTTTAAGGTTTTAAGGTTTTAAGGTTTAGGGTTTTGCCAGGGTTTAGGGTTTATGGTTGAGGGCTTAGGGCTTAGGGCTTGGGGCTTGGGGCTTAGGGCTTCGGGCTTAGGGCTTCGGGTTTAGGGTTGAGTTTTGGGGGCTTTCCCTGCACCCTAAACCTCGCTCAGCCTTGCAGTCGGGCTGGGCTAGGTGCAGAACTTTAAGACTTTAGGGTTTAGGGTTTAGGGCGCCCGTAGACACTGACGTGCCTGGCGGCTTGCGTGTAATATAGGGGCCTGAATAGTTCGACTAGGTTGACTTATTCATTTTGTTTTAATGTTTTTATGTATGCTTATTCATTTTTTTGGGGGGTATTATAGTATAATTATAAAGGGACCATAAGGGAATACTATTAGCAATTATAGCATACAGCGTGCGTACCTCTGAAGATACAGAAGAAGCCATCAACGAGTCGCATAACTTCTGAACCCTAAACATATTTTCCCCCCTAAATAAAAGCTAAACCTATAGCCTATACAGCCTAAACCCTAACTCCTATACAAACCCAAAACCATAAACCCTAAACCCTAAACCCGAAAACCTAAACACCTGAACCTCGACCGCCTAAACCGGAAAGGGATGACTTCTTGGGCTTGGGGTTAGGGTTTAGGGTATAAGGTTTCTTGGGTATGGGGTTTGGTGCTAGTCGGGTGAAGGCTCTGAGGGTCTAGAGGTTTTCGGCTGCTTGGGATCAGGGTTTAGGGCTTAGGGTTTTGGGCTTAGTGTTTAGTGTTTTGGGTTCGGGTCTAGGGTTTTGGAAAGGCATACACTGGACCCACGGCTACGGCGCACTGGACTGTCAACTGGGCACACCGAGGGTTTAGGGTTCAGGGTTCAGGGATTCGGGCTTAGGGTTGAGGGTTTTGGGTTGTGGGTTTAGGGTTTGGGTTTTGGGTTTTGGGTTTAGGGTTGAGGGTTCAGGGTTGAGGGTTTAGGGTTTAGGGTTGAGGGTTTAGGGTTTAGGGCTGCCCAACTCAGAGATCCCCCTCAGGTCGCATGAAAAAAAGTTGGCCGCTGTGGGACGCGAGGGGACTCCAGCCCTATAGAACTCCCCCCTACTTGGAGGTTCATGGTACTTCTTGACCAATGATAAATGTACTTATAACCCACTTATAAGCCCCTTAAGTGCCCAAATATGGTTCAAAGTACAATTATAAGTACAGTTCTACTTGGTTAATGAATAGGTACTAATGAACCTCCAAGTTACCTGAACCGAAACACCCTCAAGCCCCGAATCTCAAGGTCTAAACCCGAAACCTGGAACCCTGCATCCTAAACCCTGAACCCCGTAGGATAAACCGTAAACCCTCAACCCGCAACCCTAAACCCTCAACCCTAAACCCCAGTTCCCTGCAAGCGGCATCGTAGGCGACGAAGACTTTGGGCAGCATCGCGTTGCAGAGGCTTCTGAAGAGGCTTAGGCTCAAGGGCTTTGGCTTTAGGACCCTAGACCCTAATCTCTTAGAGGCATGAGATTATATAGGGACTATATAAGGTATAGATCAGGGAAATTTAGGGAAATGAGTCCTAAACCCTAAACCCTAAAACCTGACCCTAAACCCTATACCTTTAGGAGTTTAGAATTTCGCGCTGAGGTTTTGGCAGATGCTTCAAGAGAACTACATTGGGGCTCAGGAGCTCTGAAGACATAAACTCGGGTTGAGGGTTTGGGGCATAGGCCCTAGGCCCTAAACCCTAAACCCTGAACTTGGGGTTTGGGGTTTAGGGTTTCGGTTTTAGGGTTTAGGGTTTAGGGTAATTAGAGTTCTTGGGGTTTGGGAAAGTTGCCGGCTTTGAAGAGTTAGGGCAGTACGGCTGAAACTCGCTCCTACATTCGCAAGTACTTGCAACGACCGTGCTTGGTGCAACTATACCCATAGTCCGGGTAACGTTGCGATGTACGACCCAGAAGCACCAGCAGCGCTGGGCACGTGGTAATACTTGTCCAAAATTCTGTGAGTCTCCGAAATGATCATAATAAGGTAGACTCCCTTTTGAGTAAGGATTCCCCTTGCAAGGGACTCCTATCCCCTGCGGCTTCGGGGACCTTTCAACAAAAAAAGCACGCACACTGGCCCAACTTCCTCAACCCCCTGTTTTGCCACAGCGTCAGCTTTGTCAAGAGCAGGAGAACCTTCATAGGTCTCTAAAGTACTACACCCTAAGCCCTAAGCCCTAATCCCGAAACCTTAGCCTACACCGTAAATCCTAAACCCTAAACCCTGAATCCTAGCAAAATCACAAACCCAAGCCTGCGATGGAAACTAGACTCCTGCCCCAAAACCCCGATCCCCAAACCACAAACCAAATGGAGGTTGGGTTCAGGACTTATGGTTCAGGGTTCAGGGTTCAGGGTTGAGGGTTGAGGGTTGAGGGTTGAGGGTTCAAGGTTTCAAGGTTTCGGGTTTAGAGTGTAGGGTTTGGGGTTTAGGGTTTAGGGTTTAGGGTTTAGGGTTTAGGGCCTCACAAACCCCGGAACGCGGCTGGTGCCCGACAAGCGGCTGCTGAATGGATGTCTTGCCTTTCTTGATCTGTGCTTCCTTGGGCTGCAGTACTACGTCCGCTTGGGGTGTTCTTAAGGTTTTGGGTTCGGGTTCATACAGGGTTAGGGTTTAGGGTTTAGGGCTAGGGTTTAGGGTTTAGGGCTTAGGATTTAGGTTTTAGGGTTTAGGGTTTGGGGTTCGGGGTTTAGGGTTTAGGGTTTAGGGTTTAGGGTTTAGGGTTTATATAGGGTTTAGGGTTTAGGGTTTAGGGTTTTGGGGCCTGACCAACCACAATCAATCGCTGGCCTAACCAAACCCTGAGACCCACATATACCAAACCCTGAACCGTGATCCCTAAGCATGTCGGATCGGTATCCTCGACTCATGAAGGCTATGCCCTACAAGCTGGGCTGGAGAAGGGGAATTGTGCACCCTAAACCCTAAACCCTAAACCCTTAAACCCTTAAACCCTAAACCCTAAACCCTAAAGCTGAACCCTAAAGCTCAACCCTAAACCCTAAAGCCTAAAGCCTAATCCCCCTAAACCCTGAACTCTAAGCCAATGTAAGTCCAAGCTGCCGCCTGCGAGTAGAAACGCCGGAAGTCGCACCGGAGCTGCGCGCAGTGCGGCCGCAACGAGGTTTGGCCGAAGGAGAGGTTGCCTTTGGGGGTTTAGGGTTTAGGGTTTAGGGTTTAGGGTTTAGGGTTTAGGGTTTAGGGTTTAGGGTTTAGGGTTTAGGGTTTAGGGTTTAGGGTTTAGGGTTTAGGGTTTAGGGTTTAGACCACTGACCACATGAGCCGGGTAAACCCTTTGAACCCGAAAGCCCCCCTTCGGCCCTGAGAGGCCTCGAAGATTCGCAGCCGGCTTGAGGGCTCAGAGATTGGGGTTTAGGGTTTAGGGTTTAGGGTTTAGGGTTTAGGGTTTAGGGTTGAGGGCTTGGGGCTTCTCTGACAAGGTCTTCCCAAACGGAAGATCTTCCTAAACCCCAAGCCCTAAACCCTAAACCCTAAACCCTAAACCCTAAACCCCAAACCCTAAACCCTAAACCCTAAACCCGAAACCCTAAACCCTAAACCCTAAACCCTAAACCCTAAACCCTAAACCCTAGCCTGATGCATCAAACTCCACCAGCTCGGTCGCCACAAAGATGTCGCGCTGCAAGTGCCCAAACCTTGCTTAGGGCTCAGAGTTAAGGTTTAGGGTTTAGGGTTTAGGGTTTAGAGTTAGGGTTTAGGTGGCTTGAGGTTTCAGAGTCCAGGGATTCGGCTTCTGCAACACAAACCCTAAGCCCTCCCTCCCAAAGCTCAAGGTTTTCAGGAGGTTTGTGGGTTCAGGGTATGCGAATGCACTGCCCTCTTGCGCAGACGCGAACGACTTCAACTGGCACCTTTCAACCAGTCCCCAAATCACTTATAACTAGGTTAGGATGGTCTCGCGAATTGCTTGGCTTGGGCATGTTGGGTGGTTTCCGGTTTGGGGTTCAAGGTTGAAAGTGGTGCAGGCCTTGCACGCAACTAGGCTTCTGGGTCCTAGGGTTTTGGGTTGAACAAGTAAGTGGTCTAGACCTTCGGAGGGGGTGTTACTGCCCCTAACTCGCTACAGCCCTGGTTACCCTAAAGCCTTGCAACCCCTCCACAACCCTAAAGCCCCAAACCCTAAACTCCAGAACCCGAACGCCCTGAACTCCAAGCCCTAAGACGTGAGCCTAAACTCCTAACCCTAAAAAGCAAGGTTCGATTCTCCCAGGCCGTTACAGCTGTTGCAGCCACGATCTCGTTTGGGTCCCTGTTCTATAGCCCTTATAACACTACACATAATGAGGGCCCATACTTTACGATCCCTTTAAACAAGGGAACGTGACCATACTAAGGGCCCATGGCTCCAAACGTTAGACACGAGAAGCCCCCCGAAGGTTCTACCTTGGACCGTAAGGTTGCGCTCTTTGGCTTCGGGGCCCCTTTTTCAGCATCTTTACGGGAGGGGAACCTTTAGGGGCACAACCTAAGGGGGGACGAGCCTTACTCCCTAAACCCTAAACCCGCCTAAAACCTAAACCCTCAACCCTGAACCCTGAACCCTAAACCCTAAACCCTAAACCCTAAACCCTAAACACTAAACCCTACAGGGAGTCTGAATGCCCTTGACTCCGAGGAGCCCCCGGAGGTGGCAGACGATGTCAAAGCACGAGGAGTCCGTGACGAGCAAGGGCGGCGGAACGGCCTGGGTTTAGGGTTTAGGGTTGAGGGTTTAGGGTTTAGGGTTTAGGGTTTAGGGTTTAGGGTTAGGGTTTAGGGTTTAGGGTTTAGGGTTTAGGGTTTAGGGTTTAGGGTTTAGGGTTTAGGGTTTAGGGTTTAGGGTTTAGGGTTTAGGGTTTAGGGTTTAGGGTTTAGGGTTTAGGGTTTAGGGTTGAGGGTTGAGGGTTGAGGGTAAAGGGTTTAGGGTAGTTTAGGGTTGAGGTGTACATAGGGTTGGGGTGTCAGGGAGTTTAGGATGTTTAGGGTTTCGGGTTTAGTTTAGGGGTCTTAATAATTAGAACAGGGCTTTGGGGTGTCATTATAGTACAATTGTAGGGTTTTAGGGTCTAGGGTGTTTAGGGTGCTTAGGGTAAAAGAGTTAGAGGGTTTAGGGTGTTTAGTGTTTAGGGTTACAGGGTTTCGGGTTTAGGCTTTAGGGCGTTTAGGATGTTTAGGGTTTACGGTTTAAACTTAGAGGGCTTCGGGTTTAGTGCTTAGAGGGCTTAGGGTTTAGGGATTAAACCTCGGGATGTCGGGTTCAGGCTTTAGGGGTACTTAGGGGGTTACCTGTTGCCTCTCAGTGATGAGGATTCGCACCACTACTTTTTCGCATCCCACTGGTGCCCTGAACAACTAAGTTGAAGGTTCCGACCGGAACAAAAAACCTACTCGTTCGAAGTGAAGGCTCACTGTGAAAAATGGGCTCCACCCTGGGCAACTGAGATTATACCCTGGAGCTTGGTGGGGGGGGGGGGGGGGGGGGGGGGGGGGAATGCATTTCCCAAATTATGGTTTAGGGTTTAGGGTTTAGACTTTAGGTTTAAGGTGCAAATATATTGCTGTAAGTTGAATTTCCGAAAGAACTAGGGTTTAGGATGTAGGGCTCCGCTTCACTCCCTAGATACCCCCAACCCCGCAATCCATGTAACTCCACGATATCTTGAACCTCATGGCAGAGCCGCCCTAAACCCTAAACCCTAAACCCTAAACCCTAAACCCTAAACCCTAAACACTAAACACTACACACTAAGTACTAAACACAAATATGCCCCCAAACCCTCACCCCTAAAAGCTCCGAAGCCCCAAACCTAAACCTCAAATTAAGTAGAAGGGGCCCTTAATCTTATTCCCCCATATAACCCCTATATATGTATATGTACATATATATATATACTAATATGTACCAAATATAGTCCCCATATACCTAAGTAGACCCCTAAAGACCCCCCCAAGGTCCCTTATAAGGGGCCCTCCGTTAGTCCCTTGATTAAACCCTCTAACACTCTAAGCCGTATGCTCGTATCGCCCCCAACCCCTGAACCACTTAAACACAACAAATTCTAAGCCCCTAAATTAAACCCTACACTCCCGAAAGCCGTAAAACCTGAAAGCCGCCCTAAACCGGCGGAGGGTTTTTTTTTTTGCAAAGGTGTGGCTCGGCCCTGTCCTCTTGCAAAGGTGTGGCTCGGTAACCCCCTTCCCTCCCGTCCCACCCACCCACCCCCCCCACCCACCCCCCCCCCCCCCACCCCCCCCCCCCCCCCCCACCCCCCCCCACTCCCCCCCACCCCCCCGCCCCCGCCACCCCCCCCCCACCCCCCCCCCCCCCCCCCCCCACCCCCCTCCCCACTCCCCCCCACCCCCCACTCTCACCACCCCGACTCCCTCCCCCTTATTTGCAAACTCAATGCTTGCCTCTAGGTTTCAAAAAAACTCATATGCTTTGAAACAAGCTTGCACGGCTTTCAGAAGCGGGGGGTTGGGGGGGGCGCAGCCCCCCCCCATTTGAAAACTCAATGCTTGCATCATGGGTTTCAAAAAGACTCTTATGCTTTGATGCAAGCTTGCACGGCTTAAAAAAGCGGGGGGGTTGGGGGGGGCGCAGCCCCCCCCATTTGCAAACTCAATGCTTGCATCATGGGTTCCAACACCGGGGGGGCCATTTGCAAACTTAATGCTTGCATCATGGGTTTCAACAAGACTCATATGCTTTGACGCAAGCTTGCACGGCTTAAAAAAGCGCGGGGGTTGGGGGGGGCGCAGCCCCCCCCATTTGCAAACTCAATGCTTGCATCATGGGTTTCAACAAGAGTCATATGCTTTGACGCAAGCTTGCACGGCTCAAAAAAAGCAGGGGGGTTGGGGGGTGCGCAGCCCCCCCCCCATTTGCAAACTCAATGCTTGCATCATGGGTTTCAACAAGAATCATATGCTTTGACGCAAGCTTGCACGGCTCAAAAAAAGCGGGGGGTTGGGGGGGGCGCAGCCCCCCCCATTTGCAAACTCAATGCTTGCATCATGGGTTTCAACAAGACTCATATGCTTTGACGCAAGCTTGCACGGCTCAAAAAAAGCGGGGGGGTTGGGGGGGGCGCAGCCCCCCCATTTGCAAACTCAATGCTTGCATCATGGGTTTCAACAAGAATCATATGCTTTGACGCAAGCTTGCACGGCTCAAAAAAAGCGGGGGGGTTGGGGGGGGCGCAGCCATTTGCAAACTCAATGCTTGCGCATACTACATATATACACTCCACGTATTTCTACCAGCTACAGCTACATCGCGGTAAAAAGAATCTTTGCGACTGGGGAGAACAGGGAAATCAAAACGAAGTCGGCACCCAAGCCAGGCCAAGCCGAGCCAAGCCGAGCCAAGCCACGCCGAGCCAAGCCAAGCCAAGCCAGCCAGGCCAAGCCAAGCCGAGCCGAGCCCACCCGAGCCAAGCCAAGCCAAGGAGCCAAGCCAACGAAAGCCAAGCCGAGCCAAGCCAAGCCAGAGGACAAGCCGAGCCAAGCCAAGCCAAGCCCAGCCGAGCCAAGCCAAGCCGAGCCAAGCCAACCAAAGCCAAGCCAAGCCAGACAAGCCGAGCCAAGCCAGGTCAGAGGACACGCCCAGCCAAGCCAAGCCAAGCCAAGCCACACCTTTGCAAGGGGACAGGGCCGAGCCACACCTTTGCAAAAAAAAAACCCGGACCCCCCTAAACCCTAAACCCTAAACCCTAAACCCTAAACCCTAAACCCTAAACCCTAAACCCCGGACCCTAATACCCCTAAATCTGTAAGCGGTGGTCGAGCTTAGGGTTTAAGGCCGTAGTTCCTAAACCCCTGAAAGCCCTAAGCCCTAAGCCCTCAACCCTAAACCCTAAGCCCTACGCCCTAAGCCCTAAGCCCTAAACCCCAAACCCTAAAACCCTAAACCCTAAAACCCTAAACCCTAAACTTAACACCCTAAAACCCTAAACCCCAAACCCTAAAACCCGAAACCCTAAACCCTACACCCGAAACCCTAAACCCCAAGCCCTAAGCCCTAAACCCTAAACCCTAAACCCTAAACCCTAAACCCTACACCCCGCGGCCTTCCCCAAGTCGGGGTCCGTTCCCTCCATGGCGGTGCTGCTGGCGTCGAACCAGCGCACCTGGGCTTGTTGTTGTGGGGGTTTAGGGTTTAGGGTTTGGGGTTTAGGGTTTGGGGTTTAGGGTTTGGGGTTTAGGGTTTAGGGTTTAGGGTTTAGGGTTTAGGGCTTAGGCATGTAGTTGTTTGGGGGCTCAGAGGGCTTGGGGCTTTGGGTTCGGGATGTAAGCTTAGGGTTTCGGTTTTACTGGTCCCTAAACCCTAAACCCTAAACCCTCAACCCTCAACCCTCAACCCTAAACTATCGGGTTGTATATAAGAAGCTCCGGGGTCGTATATAAGAAGCTCCGGGGTCGAGAGTGTAAGAGCCCAAGGGCGTGAGAGATTCGTTTTAAGAGTTTGGGGAGCTGAGAAGCTTAGTGCTTCCGTTGCTCAAAACTCCTACTTTGAACTGCCCGCCCTCATTACGGCTTAAGGGTTCAAGAAATGGGATTAGGGTTTTGGGAGGTTAGGGTCTAGGGTTTAGGGTCTAGAGTTTAGGGTTTAAGGTTCAGGGATGCAGCAATCCAGCACCTCTTAGCTGAGCAGTTGGCTTTGAGACAAAGGCTGTGCTGTCGGCGTATACACTCAGCACTTGCCTCAACCTGGAGACTCAGAGGGACACCCAAAAAATCCTGATTCTTTCACACACCCTAGACCCAACAGAAACAAAAACCTGGGAAGCCCTGTCGTAAAAGTCCTAAACCCTAAACCCTAAACCCTAAACCCTAAACCCTAAACCCTAAACCCTAAACCCTAAACCCTAAACCCAAAACCCTAAACCCTAAACCCTTAGGTGGTTTCTTTTCTGAGTCTTGCAGGTTCTTTTCGTAAGGCCCCATGCCTGCATCGATCACCATCACGGCCTCACGCCAAGACGAGCCGAGCCCCCCCCGTCCGGGTCGGCCGGATCCAGTGCCCGCTGGAGGGCGGTGACCAGGCACCAGGGGGTTTAGGGTTTAGGGTTTAGGGTTTAGGGTTTAGGGTTTAGGGTTTAGGGTTTAGGGTTTAGGGTTTAGGGTCGTGAGAATCGTCCGAACCCAGCACGCGTGCCGCGGCGCTCCACCAACCCATGGAACCCGTACCCAACCTGTCGGCTTGAGCGCAACCGAGCCCAACCGCGCTCGTGCTGTCGTGGTTGGCTTAACAAGAAGTCAAGAGTTTGGGGTTTAGGGTTTTGGGTTTTGGATTTAGGGGCGCAGCGCATCCTAACTTTCTTTTCGTGGTTACCGAAGCCCTGTCTTGGTTGCAACACACCATGATTGTGTTTACCCTTCAGAACCCGAAAGCTACTTCTTTTGAAGGTTATTACGATTTTAAAAAACCTTGTAGGATTCTTAGGTAACCTACAAAGAAGATAGGTTTTGGTGTTCTGGAGGTTTAGGGTTTGCAGGGCTACAGGGCTCTTCGATTATTGGGTTAGAGGGTTTCGGGTTTAGGGTTTAGGGTTTAGGCTTTAGGGTTTAGGGTTTAGGCTTTAGGGTTTAGGGTTTAGGGTTTGGGGTTTAGGCTTTAGGGTTCAGGGCTGAGACCCCAAAGCCCCTAAAGCCCATCAAGCCACCGGAGGGCTCTTAGGGTGCAGGATGTTGGGGTTTACCTCAACTAGTTTAGGGTTTAGGGTTTAAGGTTTAGAAACGATAGGGTTTAGGGTTTAGGGTTTAGGGTTTAGGTTTAGGGTTTAGGGTTTAGGGTTTAGGGTTTAGGGTTTAGGGTTTAGGGTTTAGGGTTTAGGGTTTAGGGTTTAGGGTTGAGGGCTGAGGGCTGAGGGCTGAGGGCTGAGGGTTGAGGGTTGAGGTTTAGGTCTGAGGGTTTAGCATTTAGGGTTTGGGGTTTAGGGTTTAGAGATTAGGGCTTAGGGTCGACAGCAGTAGCAGGGACAGAATGCTGGCCGTGGCGCGTTGGGATAAGGCGACAAGACCTGCGCCGCACAGGATTCGAGACTTCCGCCCCTCCCCCCTGCCCGGCAGAAGCCCTAAACATCCCTAAACCCCAAGCCCAGTAGGGTTTAGGGTTTAGGGTTTAGGGTTTAGGGTTTAGGGTTTAGGGTTTAGGGTTTAGGGTTTAGGGTTAACCTAAACCCGCAAGTTCTGAAGCCTATGAAGCCGGATCCCCAAGAACCAACTAGGGCGTAGGGTTTAGGGGACTATGAAGTAGGGGACTTCCGAACGGTTGAAAACTTGATTTTTCAGGGTCTAAACGTTCAGGACCCTAAACCCTAAACCCTAAACCCTAAACCCTAAAACCTAAACCCCAAACAGGGTTTAGGGTTAACCGTACTTACAACCATCCACAAGGCTGCAAGTAGGAAAGCCTCTTGCCTCTTTAGACATACATACTAAGGACTTCTTCATGTTTCATGCAAGTTCCGGGGCCCCTCAACCTTTAACCCCAAAGCCCTAAGGACCCATAAGCTTCAAACCCGATACCCGAACACCTATAGGGTTTAGGGTTTAGGGTTAAGGGTTTAGGGTTTAGGGTTTAGGGTTTAGGGTTTAGACCCTAAACCAAACAAGCGTGCCACGCCTGGCGCAGGTCGATTTTCTCATAGCCAGGACCTCCTGCCCGGTCCACCTGACGCGGGAAGCAACCTCAATACCCCAAAGGGCCCTAAGTACCAGTAGGGTTTAGGGTTTAGGGTTTAGGGTTTAGGGTTTAGGGTTTAGAGTTTAGAGTTTAGGGTCCTAAGTACCTACATAGTAGAGAGTAGGGTTTCTAAATGAGAATTACGACCATGGTTTGGGCAAGTGTCCCCCCATATAGGTACTGAGCCCCCTTTGGGTACTTGCACCCGCAGGGATGCGACCAATCAGGTGCTTGGGATGTCCATGCAAGATCAGAATTGCTTGGCGTGAGCCTTGCCTCGCTTGAATGGAGGTTTTACGAAAACAGGGGGCCCCTAAAGTAACCCCCAAATAGTAAGATTCCTTGACAATAAGAACCCCAATAAGGTACTCCTAGTATTTAACCACCGCTAGAAGTCTTATAGGGACAACATAAGTGCAAAGCCTCGCATGCTGGCAGAGTTTCATACTTTTTGCTGATGATGGCAGATAGTTGAAAGCTTCTGAGGCTGTGGTCTCGGACGGAGATGCGTTGCTTCGGGCCTAAACCCTAAACCCTAAACCCCTAAACCCCTACACCCCTAAATTCCCTAAACCCCTAAACCCTAAACCCAAGGGCGATTCTGATCGCTTCGCGACCGCGATGAGCCCTGCGCAAGAGTGCAACACAAAGAGCTTCGAGTAGGCTGCCCAGCAACCTCGGCTTAAAAAGGGTGCCCCTTTTTTGCTTAAAGGGGTTTATCAGGGAACCTAAACCCTCCAAAAGGGAATAAGTATACTACTGGGCACCCTCGGTGTTCTCAAAAATTAAAAAGTTCAAGGAGCTGCTTCAAATGTACCCCATCAGCCGGGCCGGATTGCAAGGCCTTATTTTGCCAGCCTTACTTGTTGCAGAGATCCCGTCCGGCAACCGCATGCATTACGCCTCGCAGCTGCAGTTGTCACAGCTCAAGGCCGCCTCTACGCAGCTCCTCACAGACCAGCTCAGCTGGTTACCCCCCAAAAACAGATGTTCAAGGGAGGTCAAGTTGCGCAGGAGCGCTTCCGGGAGTGCTGCCAGCTCGTTGTATCGCAAATCCAGTTGCTGCAGGGAGGCCAAGCCCTGGAAGAGCGCCTCCGGGAGTGATGTCAGGCCATTGAAGTTCAAACCCAGTTTCTGAAGGGACGCCAACCCGTGGAAGAGCGCCTCCGAGAGGGTCAACTCGTTGCTGTCTAAAGCCAGGTTCTGCAGGCAGGCCAAGCCACTGAAGAGCGCCTCCGGGAGTGCTGTCAGCTCATTTCCGCCCATATCCAGTCGCTGCAGGGAGGCCAAGCCGTGGAAGAGCGTTTCCGGGAGTGCTGCCAACTTGTTGCCGACCAAATCCAGTTCTAGCAGGGAAGCCAAGCCGTGGAAAAGCGCCTCCGGGAGGGCTGCCAGCTCATTTCCGTTCATATCCAGTTTCTGCAAGGAGGCCATGCCTCGCAAGAGTGCCTCCGAGAGGGCTTCTAACGAGTTCCAGCCCACATCCAGTTGCTGCAGAGAGGCCAAGCCGTGGAAGACGGCTTCAGGGAGTGCTGCTAGCTCATTTGAGCTCACATCCAGTCTCTGCAGAGAGGCCAAGCCGTGGAAGAGCGCCTCCGGGAGTGCTGCTAGCCAGTTCTCGCCCAAATCCAGTTCCTGCAGAGAGGCCAACCCGCAGAAGAGATTTTCTGGGAGTGTTGCCAGCTCGTTCTGCTTCAAATCCAGTTTCCGCAGGCTGGTCAAACCTGCAAAGGACCCTAAACCCTAAACCCTAAACCCTAAACCCCAGCTTCTGCAGGGTTTTCAAGCCTACGAAGGCGCCGCTGGAAACGCTGCGGAGCTTGTTCTGGCCCAGGTCCAGGACCTTGGGGACGAAATGTCGGGTTTAGGGTTTAGGGTTTAGGGTTTAGGGTTGAGGGTTGAGGGTTGAGGGTTGAGGGTTTAGGGTTTAGGCTTTAGGCTTTAGGCTTTAGGGTTTAGGGTTTAGGGTTTAGGGTTTAGGGTTTAGGGTTTAGGGTTTAGGGTTTAGGGTTTAGGGTTTAGGGTTTAGGGTTTAGGGCATATACCTACCCTATGCTGCTATAACTTCTACTATTAAGGTATATGGACCATAAACCCATTGCTTCGACTCTAACTTCTACTATAAGGTATATGGACCACAGACCCTTGTTCATGTGGTCCCCAAGGCACTCTTAAGCGGTGGAGCTGGGCAAAGGTGCCGTCCTCCAAGGCCGTAAGCTCGTTCTCGCTAATGTCCAGCACTTCCAGCTGTGGGTTGTCGAAGGCCGGCAAGCCTCAGTTGCTGAATTCATAAGCCCCCCAAAATGCACACCTTCAGTTCTATAGGGGACTATCGGATCCCAAAAAATGTAAAGTGTACACTCAGTCAGCTACTTAGGAGCTGACAAGATGGTTCCCTTGAACGATCACTTCGAAAAGCTCATCGACCTTGCCGCCCAGGAAAAGCTGCTCCAAGTTGCGCAGCGGTCTGAGAAGCTCGGTGGAAAGGTTGGTGAGACGGTTTTCGCTGAGCGACAGCAACCGCAGGTTCGTGAGGCCTTCGAAAACCTCCTCCTCCAGGTGCTCGAGCTGTCCTTTCCCCAAATCCAACGCTTCCTTAGTAGCCCAGTAACCATATTACAATAAGGGCACCCTTCTTTTGGTTGGTTACTATATAAGGGAACCCTAAACCCTAAACCCTAAACCCTAAACCCTAAACCCTAAACCCTAAACCCTAAACCCACAAACCAAAAACAGGGAAAAGTGTACCGCTGGACTACCAAGCTTCCAAACAGGCGAGGCGCCGGAACCTCTTTGATGGCAGTGAGGTGAGGGTGTTGTTGGTGAGGGACAGGCGCATCAAGTGACATCCTTGGTAGCTCAGTATATGGTTAAGGGCACCTTTTTTTGGGTTAGTTACCTTTTTAGGGGTTCGTTACCTTTTTAGGGAACCTTGAACCCAAAAAAAGGAAAAGGGCACTACTGGGCTGCCCAGCATCCCAAAGGATCGAAGGCAGCCTCGGCGATGCTATCGAAGCCGCTGATGGCCAGCTCCGCCTGTCGGAGGGCAGCCGCCAAGCCGCAGCTTTCCAGCCGCACGGGCGGGCGGGGGCAGATTTTCCTATACTCCCCTTAGGACCTTAAGAACAGAGAATATGTTTAATATCCTCTTGGGTTTTATATATACACAAGAATAAAACATAATTCCCAAGGGGGATATAGTTTCCAGCCCCTCTTCCACGTCTCGGGCGCAGAGTCCTTAGCGTCAGGTTCGTGCGCTACTTGCACTTCACATCCTCACACGCGCACACGCGGTCCTCCTACCCGATGCAGTCAAGCGGCGGCACGCCACTCGATGTTCCCTCTCGCCATGATGTTGCCAGGACCTTTGCTGGAGCCAGAGCCGCTGTAGTCGATTCCATTCACCGTCAAGATGTCGTAAGAATCTTCCGTCTCGAAGTCCTCCACTTGGATGACAAGGCTGCTGCCTGCGCGGACCTGGACGGTGCATTGATCACCGTCCGGATAACCGTTGGGATAAGAGGTGCTGCTGATGCAGCCGTCGGCATGCTGGGTGCAGGACCTGAGCAGCCAAAGGAAACAACACGATCTCAGCTGCCGGCAAGAAGCTCAGGGTTTAGGGTTTAGGGTTTAGGGTTTAGGGTTTAGGGTTTAGGGTTTAGGGTTTAGGAAGCAGACCAGCAAACCCTTAAGGGGCGGGCCCGGCTGTGACATTCCAATGCCCCAGCTGCTCCTGCAAATCTGTGAAACGGCACAAGGCGTCAGGATCTGTCAAAGAGTTGACCTGTGTTTCTAAATACCCTAAGCCCTAAGCCCTAAGCCCTAAGCCCTAAGCCCTAAGCCCTAAGCCCTAAGCCCTAAGCCCTAAGCCCTAAGCCCTAAGCCCTAAGCCCTAAAGCCCTAAGCCCTAAGCCCTAAGCCCTAAGCCCTAAGCCCTAAGCCCTAAGCCCTAAGCCCCAAACCCTAAGCCCTAAGCCCTAAGCCCTAAGCCCTAAGCCCCAAACCCTAAACCCTCACCCCTGGTCCTGAAAAGCTTGAGGCCCGGAAGAAGAGGTGCTCCGATGTAGCGCCCCCGGGTCCTGCGACAGCGTGCTCTGATTCCAGCATCAGCTCATGCTCTTCACCCTAAACCCTAAACCCTAAACCCTAAACCCTAAACCCTAAACCCTAAACCCGAAACCCGAAACCCTAAACCCTAAACCGTCCTTGGAGCAGCGGCAAGGGAAGCAGCTGAAGTCCCCAGAGTGGCCCGGATACACGTCCGGGGAGCGGAGGAGCAGAAAAAGCACCAGCACCAGCATTGGTGAATACATCGCCTGAAGGGTTTAGGGTTTAGGGTTCAGGGTTTAGGGTTTAGGGTTTAGGGTTTAGGGTTTAGGGTTTAGGGTTTAGGGTTTAGGGTTTAGGGTTTAGGGTTTAGGGTTTAGGGTTTAGGGTTTAGGGTTTAGAATTTAGGGTTTAGGGTTTAGGGTCCTGAAGACTGCGCAGCGCCAGCCGGCCAGGACGGGAAGAGCACGTGCCAATGGAAAGAAAGCCCGGGGCCCTCCTCTCGGAGAGTTCCCTGGCGCGCTCCACGGAGCGGCAAGCGCAGCAGGTGTGGGCAAGACTGGCGTACACGGCTAAGTACGGCATGATGTCAGCGGGGAAGGCGAAAGTGGGGCTGATGCCTCGACAGCACCCAGGCATGATGCGCAGGCCCCCGCAAAAAAGGAACAGACGGCTGCTGCGGTGACCCAAAATCAGAGGCTACCATACCCCCAAAATGAAAATAGGAAACTGTAGCCCATAATTATCGTCCACTGGCTTTCTCAAGATAAACCCTAACAACCCCAAACCCTAAACCCACAACCCTAACAACCCCAAACCCTAAACTCACAACCCTAAACCCTAAACCCTGAACCCTAAACCCTAAACCCTAAACCCTAAACCCTAAACCCTAAACCCTAAACCCTAAACCGAAAAAACCAAGCAGCTGTTGCTGAAGTCCAGCTCCCAGACTTCCCCGAAGTTGCCCTCCACGGCAGTCTCCAGCCTGAGCCCTAACCCTAAACCCTAAACCCTAAACCCTAAACCCTAAACCCTAAACCCTAAACCCTAAACCCTAAACCCTAAACCCGCCCCCCACAGATGTCTCCAGCCTGAGCTCTGACATGGCAGTCACCTGAGCAAGGGAGCATGGATCCGAAAACGGCCCCTGTTTAGGGTTTAGGGTTTAGGGTTTAGGGTTTAGGGTTTAGGGTTTAGGGTTTAGGGTTTAGGGTTTAGGGTTTAGGGTTTAGGGTTTAGGGTTTAGGGTTTGGGGCTTAGGGCTTAGCGCTTAGGGTTTAAGAGGGTTTTGGGTTTAGGGTTTAGGGTTCAGGGTTTAGGGTTTAGGGCCTAGGGTTTGTAATCTCACGGGAACGGGCGGCCACAATCACCAAGTAGTTGAGCATGTACCCCAGGTCCATCACCACGTCCATGACAGCGGCACCTCACTCCCTCTCTCTCTCTGTCCCTCTCACCCCCTCTCTCCCTCTCTCCCCCTCTCTCCCCTTGTCTCGACTCTTCTCTCCCTTGCTCTCTCTCTCTCTCTCTCTCGCTCTCGCTCTCTCTCTCTCTCTCTCTGTCTCTTTCAGTGTGTCTCTCTCTCTCTCTCTCTCTGTCTGTCTCTGTTCTCTCTCTCTGCCCGCGCCCTACCCCGCTTCCCTTTAACCGCGCACGTTCACTCCGAGGAGCCATATCGACACCGTCGGGCATTGGGCGCGATGAAGAGGATGCTCGGGTAGACGCTGTTGAGCACCAGGAACACCCAAAAGATCCAAAAGCAATCCTGCAACTGCGAAACTGCTGGGATCTTCTGGTACATTGCGAAGGTGACAATTCCTGCGAGCAGTTGTACCTGGGGGCGTCTCAAATTTCCAGCAATGGTCGCTAATGTTTATGGGAAGTTTTTGAAACTCACCCACCTTCCCGAATGCCTGCAGGAGCACGGTCACCATCTGCATGACGGCAACCTTCAAGGCACTCAGGTCACAAGCATGTGAAGAAGGAGTTCTAAACCCCCAAACCCTAAACCCTAAACCCTAAACCCTAAACCCTGAACCCTAAACCCTAAACCCTAAACCCTAAACCCTGCTGCTTCAGCAAAGCTCCCACCTTGAGGACGTAGCAGTTGCCTTGGACTCCGAAATGGCGCTCGTAGATGATCTGCGACGGCTTCAACCTCCGCTGTCTGCACAGCGGCGACTGCACTCTTACGCCTTCCCGTGTCCTCCTTGTAGTTCCCCCTCCCCCTCCCTCCCCCGCTCTCCCCCGCCCCCTCACCGCTCACCCCTCACCCTGAACCCTAAACCCTAAACCCTGAACCCTAAACCCTAAACCCCCCCCTCCCCCGACCTCCGGGATCCCTGGCGACGGCACCGCATCAGGTCGTGACCTGACAAGGAACTGGCCAAAAGTGGTGGGGCTTCCAAGCACTTGTGCCAAGACATTAGGGTTTAGGGTTAGGGCTTAGGGTTTAGGGCTTAGGGTTTTGTAAGTCTCTCTCTCTCTCTCTCTCTCTCTACTTCATTATGTGTTCGCAGACAAGCCACTGTAGACCAAGATGAGGACGGCGTAGGGAAGAGCCAGCGCAACTGCCTTCAACCAAGACTTCTCCGCCTCTTCCTGGGCAATGTCGTGAGGGCCGAGGCGCAAGAAGGCACGGAGAGGGCCTGGCAGCCCCTCCTGCAGCGGCGGCCCCCCGTAGCGCAGGAAATATTGCAGCGCGAAGTAGGCGCTGCAAAGAAGGGAGGTGGCCCTCACCTTACTTCTCCAATAAGCAAGGGAAAAAATGGTTACACTGTATCTTCCTACTAAATAAGGAAACCCAAAAGGTTTAAAAAGTTCAGCCGTTGGAGAAGTAAGTCACCCTAAACCTAAACCCTAAACCCTAAACCCCAAACCCTAAACCCTAAACCCTAAACCCTAAACCCAGTCACCAGGCCCAGGATGATGGCAAGCCCAAGGTGAGGCTTTGGCAGGCTCTTCGTCGTCTTTGCTTGCTTGAGCTCCTGGGCTCCAGTTCGCGGACGAGGGTCGATCATCAGGCCAAAGGTCGTCGCCATCAAACCTCTGCTGCAGAAAGGTGTAGGGTTTAGGGTTTAGGGTTTAGGGTTTACGGTTTAGGGTGCAGGGTGTAGGGTGTAGGGTTTAGGGTTTAGGGTTTAGGGTTCTAAGGAACCACGGACACCGAGGAATGACGAACTATACTGGTAGACACCAAGGGCACGAACAAAGACTTAACATGCATCCCCAAAGTACACCCAGAGCACTCCAAGCTATCCAGGCAATGTTCAATTTGTCAATATGCAGTCCAAGAGCTTCTCCAGAAGAGAAGTCTCAGGGCACCCAAAAAGACCACCGAGTACACTCCAAGGACTGCCACGCGTGTAACTTTCTACGAAAGTCGACCTCCCAGCAACTCCTCCTCCTCCTCCTCCTCCTCCTCCTCCTCCTCCTCCTCCGCCTCCTCCTCCTCCTCCTCCTCCTCCTCCTCCTCCTCCTCCTCCTTCGCGTGCGGCGGTTGCGCTGTGAAAATTGAAGAAAATCAACCCTCGGAACTATCGAGCCACACAGCGACACACGCAGAAGCAAGGACAAGACTGAAGCGATCGTCACTTCGCGACTCAGTAGTCGGTGAAAGACACGATTGGCAAGTGGAACTCTTCCGACACCGCGAATTTTGCTGCTCGGGCGCGCGGATCGTACGACAAGAGAAGGCCACTTGAAGTTGCCCAATAGCTTGTCACAAAAGAAGAAAATATATAGGTGCACTGCTCGAACTTCGACATTCCACGTTACGCCGCCAGCATAGCACTCCCTGGTGGAGCCTCCCAACTGTAAACCGCCTGTTAGCCTATGCTCGGAACCTGTAGTACATCATTTTGCTTGAACATCCCACACCCTACCGCCTGTAAACGGCGATGTGGCGAGGGTCTTGACGTCGGAACCCGTCGTGTTAACACGCTGTCTTTTTGAACTCCCCCACACGGTGAAGCCCTCGACCCGGAATGCGGACAGCGTGATGACATGAAGCAGGGTATATATTTCTTGTACCCCCAAAAGAACACCCAATGTATACACTCACCAATATGAAAAAGGAACCTTATATACACTCACCAAAAGCAGAAATATAAAACCTGCTTCACATGAGTTTCCAAGAGTTCTGGGTGAGCGGCAGAGGCCCTGAAGCTTCCTCTCAGCAGAAGCCAAAGCTCGCTCCAACAGCAGCACGGTGGCAAAGTAACCTTCTTGCTACATGCAAAATTGCGGGGTTCGGATGTTCAGGGTTAGGGTTTAGGGTTTAGGGTTTAGGGTTTAGGGTTTAGGGTATAGGGTATAGGGTATAGGGTTTAGGGTTTAGGGTTTAGGGTTTAGGGTTTAGGCTCTAGGGTTTAGGGTTTAGGGTTTGGGGTTTGGGGTTTGGGGTTTGGGGTTTGGGGTTTGGGGTTTGGGGTTTGGGGTTTGGGGTTTGGGGTTTGGGGTTTGGGGTTTGGGGTTTAGGGTTTAGGGTTTTCTGGGGACTAGGATGGGCCACTCTCACGGTGCAAGGAGCCGTCGATGCACAGCACCACCTCGCAGCACCTGCGCTTGCGGCCCTCCTCGGCGAAGCCGTCCCGCAGGGCCACAACGCAGATCCGTTGTTCCTCACTTTGCAAGCGCCTGACAGCAGGGACCACAACACGAATCACAGCAGGCGCGCGCTCATGGCTTGCAGGCTAGCCCTAAACCCTAAACCCTGAACCCTAAACCCTAAACCCTAAACGGGCCCGCGCCTGTTCAGCTCCTGCCAGGTCTGTCGCACGTGAGGCAGGCCGTTGCAATAGATTTCGTAGAACAGGACATCCACAGCTCCTGAACACCGTCGAAGCTTACCCCCAGAGGAGGTTTCATGGGAGTACCCGAAACCCTAAACCCTAAACCCTAAGCCCTATAAGCCCTAAGCCCTAAACCCTAAACCCTAAACCCTAAACCCAAAACCCAAAACCCAAAACCCTAAACCCTAAACCCTACGGACGCCAGCAATGACTCTTCGGCGGTGCCTTCGCACCCAGCAGAGGCATGGAACTCTTCGTCCATGCTCCTCAGCTGCGCTCTCATGCCTTCTGCGCCCACTGTCTTCACGACCTCCTGCAGCGTTTTCCTCACGATGCTTGGGTTTAGGGTTTAGGGTTTAGAGTTTAGGGTCTAGGGTTTAGGCTCTAGGGTCTAGGCTTTAGGGTTTAGGGTTTAGGGTTTAGGGTTGAGGGTTTAGGGTTTAGGGTTTAGGGTTTAGGATTTAGGGTTAAGGGTTTAGTGTCTAGGGTTTAGGGTTTAGGGTTTTATGGTTTTAGGGTTTAGGGGGTAGGTTGAGGGTTGAGGGTTGAGGGTTGAGGGTTGAGGGTTGAGGGTTGAGGGTTGAGGGTTGAGGGTTGAGGGTTGAGGGTTGAGGGTTGAGGGTTGAGGGTTGAGGGTTTAGGGTTCAGGGTTCAGGGTTTAGGGTTTAGGGTTTAGGGTTTAGGGTTTAGGGTACAGACACACACACACACAAACACAAACACCTTCACAGCTCTCCAGAAGAGGCCAAGCAACTGAAAGCTTGGAAGGTGCTGTCGCGCCCGCAGATAGTTGCGCTTCCTCAGACGGCAGCCACCGCTCAACCCTAAACCCTAAACCCTAAACCCTAAACCCTAAACCCTAAACCCTAAACCCTAAACCCTAAACCCTAAACCCTAAACCCTAAACCCTAAACCCTAAACCCTAAACCCTAAACCCTCCCTTGATTTGCACTGCACACCCTTGCCACTGCAGCCGAGCTTCAGGTCGCCCACGAACTCCTGCAATACTATGGCAAAAACCGGGTTTAGGGTTTAGGGTTTAGGGTTTAGGGTTTAGGGTTTAGGGTTTAGGGTTTAGGGTTTAGGGTTTAGGGTTTAGGGTTTAGGGTTTAGGGTTTAGGGTTTAGGGTTTAGGGTTTAGGGTTTAGGGTCGGTATACTCTTTCCCGAAGGGTCCTAAGTACCTACATAGTTGAAAGTAAGGTTTCTATACTATTTTACTATTCTGGTTGTGGTAAGTGTCCCCCCATAATTGTAGGTACTTAGGACTCCGGACCCTTTGGGTTTGGAATCGGACTCGAGCTCCTGCCGCATTTGGTCGGCGCTTGGATACTTCTCCCCAGCCTCACCGAAGACCAGCGAGGTGTGGGACGGGATCTCGTCCTCCTGCAGCACCTGCCCGAGACACTGGGCAGGGTTTAGGGTTTAGGGTTCAGGGTTCAGGGTTTAGGGTTTAGGGTTTAGGGTTTAGGGTTTAGGGTTTAGGGTTTAGGGTTTAGGGTTTAGGGTTGAGGGTTTAGGGTTGAGGGTTTAGGGTGGCATCTTGTGGGCCGGCCTCCGAGTACAAAGCCTCCGAGGACAGTGAAAACTCCAGCGTGGCCCTCTGCATCTGGTCCTTGGTAGCCCAGCAACCATACTATAATGAGGGCACCCTTTTGTTGGGGTTGGTGATTTATAAAGGAACCCATAACCCAAAAAAGGGTAAAGGGTACCACTGGGCTACCAAGGGTCAAAACGGATGCTGGCGTAGGCCACCGAAGACAGGGGAAGAGCAAGCAACAGTGCGGAGAGGGAGGACACCTCAAGCCACACCCCCCTCCCCCCCCCCCCCCACACACACACAATAACGAAAAGACCCACAAAGACTGCGTGCCGGCACGCATAGTTAGTGGCCACTGGGCATGTCTTGAGGATGTTTGGGAGCTCCACTTGCACAGCGCCAGGACACGGAGAAGCCGCTCAACTCTGCCAAGCTGAAGATTAGAGCCGGATACCTGGGAAGAGCTGAAACATCTTTAAACCCAAATGTTCATCCCAAAGGCAGCCGCAACAAGTGCGGCTCGCGCAGGGACGACGACGGCACGACAACGGCTCGGGATGCTGATGACCTCCGGCCTGTCGCAGTGCGAAATTGACGACCCTCTCCTCCTCCTACTGCGACTGCTACTGCTAAAACTACTGCTACTACTACTACTACTACTACGACGACGACGACGACGACGACGACTACGACGACTACGACGACTACGACTACGACTACGACTACGCCTACGACTACGACTACGACTACGACTACGACTACGACTACTACTACTACTACTACTACTACTACTACTACTACTACTACTACTACTACTACTACTACTACTACTACTACTACTACTGCTACTGCTACTACTACTAACTACTGCTACTACTACTACTACTACTACTACTACTACTACTACCACCACTTGTACTTGTTATCACCTCCGCTACTCCTGCTACGCCTGCTATGATACAGCAGCGCGGACGCCAGCAAACCTGAACAAGCAGAAAATCGGCCGCCCAGGCGCAGGGAGAGCACGACGAGCAGCAGCAGGCCTGCGTTCCACACATTCGGCACCGTTTCAGGGAAGGTGTTGCTCCTCTTTCGCTTGGTTCTGATGCTTGTGATATTGTTTTTGTCGGGGACCTTGAACCCTAAACCCTAAACCCGAAACCCTGAACCCTGAACCCTAAACCCTAAACCCTAAACCCTAAACCGTAAACCCTAAACCCTAAACCCTAAACCCTAAACCCTAAACCCTGAACCCTGAACCCTAAACCCTAACCCTAAACCCTAAGAGGCACTCCCGACGATGGCCTTTGGACTCGATGTCTGCCGCTGCCTGCACGAAGAAGATCAAGGCCAGCTCGCACCAGCGCAGGGCCTACTTGCAAACAGGGTTTAGGGTGTAGGGTTTAGGGTTTAGGGATTAGGGTTTAGGGTTTAGGTTTTAGGGTTTAGGGTTGTTCTTTTTTTGGGTTTAGAGTTTAGGGTTCAGGGTTTAGAGTTTAGGGTTTAGAGTTTAGGGTTTAGGGCTTAGGGGTTCCAAAGGGACCAGGTACCTTTCTGGTACATACTTGGCCCTGCAGCCACCCCTAAGGGTCCATGTACTTAATAATTTTTGCTTGGGTCCCAAACCCTAAACCCTAAACCCTAAACCCTAAACCCTAAACCCTAAACCCTAAACCCTAAACCCTAAACCCTAAACCCTAAACCCTAAACCCTAAACCCTAAACCCTAAACCCTAAACCCTAAACCCTAAACCCTAAACCCTAAACCCTAAACCCGAACGTGGCTCGCGTGCAGAGAAAGGCCTCATGGAAGGTGTTGCAGAAGCTCTTCCCAAGGTCGCAGAAGTAGTGCTCGTTGCAGTAGCCATTCCTGAAACAATGGCCATGACGACATGAAGGGACCCCGCCCGCCGGATCGTCAAAGTGGCCAGGAATCTACAAATCCCAAAAGGGTCTCTAAGTACCTATATATGCGGGGACACTTACCCAAACCATGATAGTAAATTCCTATAATAGAAACCCTGCTTTCTACTCTGTAGGTACCCTAAACCCTAAACCCTAAACCCTAAACCCCTTTGAGAAGCAAGAGCCAAGACACAAATTGGCATGGAAGCGTTGGCAGGTCCTGTGGCTGCATGGAAACGGCCGGTCCTGCGTGGGGTGGAGACTCGGCCAACTCCCACACAGCCCGATGTCCCCCTTAATTGAGAATAATATATAGCTTAACTGAAATAGGGATCCTCGATATGATTTAAGGTGTACACATATATATATATATATGTATTATATTATGTATATATATACCTTTAATAAACCCTAGACCCTCGACCCTAAACCCTAAATAAGGGTATTGGGGTCTTTGGGCTTGCGGACGGGGCCACGCCGTCCTCGTTGACTTTCGTCGGGACCGTGCTCAAATCGATCTCTGAGTCGGCGGGGTCTGCAGAGCAATCGGAGGCTCAAAGTAGTCACCCTAAACCCTAAACCCGAAACCCTAAACCCTAAACCCTAAACCCTAAACCCTAAACTCAAGGAAGTGAAAATCTACCAGAAGAGACCGGGGCCTCCGAAGCCTGTCAGCGTTCGAGCACGCTTCAGTGGCACCTCGACGGCTGGCAGGTTTGGGGTTTAGGGTTTAGGGTTTAGGGTTTAGAGTTTAGGGTTTAGGGTTTCGGGTTTAGGGTTTAGGGTTTAGGGTTTAGGGTTCAGGGTTTAGGGTTTAGGGTTTAGGGTTCAGGGTTCAGGGTTCAGGGGTCAGGGTTCAGGGGTCAGGGTTTGGGGTTTAGGGTTTAGGGTTTAGGAGGGTGGCCTTGGACAGCTGCTGAAGCGCCGCCCGCAGCTGCTGCATCCACGCCGCTGCATCCTCCCAACAACGCGGAGGGACTTGAAGGTTCATGGTGCTTGTTAACCAATCATGAAGGGTTTAGGGTTTAGGGTTTAGGGTTTAGGGTTTAGGGTTTAGGGTTTAGGGTTTAGGGTTTAGGGTTTAGGGTTTAGGGTTTAGGGTTTAGGGTTTAGGGTTTAGAGTTTAGGGCTTAGGGTTTAGGGTTATTAACCCAATTCTAACTGTACTTAACCACCCAAAGTATCACCATATTGGGGCACCTTGTAAGTGGGTTATCAGTACAGATATAATTGGTTAATAAGTACCATGAACCTCCAAGAAGGTTGGTTTGCAAAGGGGCCCCTCTCCCAAAGAGTCCTTCGTACCTTCTGGGGGCCACTTACCCAAAACGTGATAGCAATTCCTCTTATAGAAACCCTACTTGCTACTACGTAGGTACCATAATGCCAATTATAGAAACCCTACTTTCTACAATGTAGGTACTTAATACCCTCTGGGTCTGAAGCTAGTCATGAATAAGACCCTCAGTTCCGTGACGTTCCCGGCTCAGTCCACAGAGTCCGCCCTAAACCCTAAACCCTACACCCTAAACCCTAAACCTAAACCCTGAACCCTGAACCCTAAACCGTTCCTCGATGCAGAGCCACATCTGCAAGTTGCTGTCACGTCTCTGGAGCTTTCGGGCAGCGTTGTGCCTTGCTTTGAAAGGCAATGCAAATAGGTCCCGCGGCAGGGTTTAGGGTTTAGGGTTTGGGGTTTGGAGTTTGGGGTTTGGGGTTTGGGGTTTGGGGTTTGGGGTTTAGGGTTTAGGGTTTAGGGTTTCGGGTTTTAGGGGGTTCTTGCCACAGTAGAACTTCGCCAAGGCGCAGCAATTGTTTGGAGGCCTGGGGAACCTGACAGAGAGGAACCATCAGTGAATCTCAACTGGATTCATGTCAATCAGCAGAAATCTCTTCAGGCAGAATGCCCAAAGGGTCCTAAGTACTTATATGGGGGACACAAGCCATAATAGTAAATCCTACTGTAGAAACCCTACTTTCTACTATGTAGGTACTTAGGACCAAACGCCCACGCTGAACCCTAGACCCTAAACCCCCCTAAACTCAGGGCCTACGTTGGGGGGCGGCGCTTAAGCCCTTCGACCTCGATGGCGCAAGCCGACCCAGATCGCTCGCCCGCCCAGCATGAAATTACATTCCTGACTAACATAACTACCCTAAGACCCTCCCTCCCTGGCCCCCGGCCCTCCTGGCCCCCTGGCCGGCTGGTCCCTGGCCTTGTAATCCTGGCCCCTGAGCACCTGGCCCCCGGGCCCCCTGACTGCCTGGGACCCTCCCTGAAACTGCCTCCCGACCCCCCATTCCTTTGACTCTCGGACCTAACGAACGTCATGAACTAATTAAAAAGTTTTTGGAAGTGGACTGTTGTCTGAGTTTAAGCCTTAAAAGGAATAGGTTTGGGCGGCTTTGCCGCCTCGGCCGGCGTGGGGTGGGAAAAAGTGTTAGATGGCCCTCCACACTCGGGCCAAAGCTGCTCTTCGCACCTCACGAAGCTTTCGAGCTTGTTCCGAAACCTAACCTTCACAGCAGCTACGCCCTATCACACCAAACCCTAAACCCTAAACCCTAAACCCTAAACCCTAAACCCTAAACCCTAAACCCTAAACCCTAAACCCTAAACCCTAAACCCTAAACCCGGACCCATCAGGCAGAATGAGGACAGGAAAAGCAGCGGCGCCTTGGGGCAGGCTTGGACTTGGAGAGACAAGTCATCCAGGCGAAGCTTTAGCCTAAGCTTGCGTCTTCAGGGCTTCGGGCTTCGGGCTTCGGGCTTCGGGCTTCGGGCTTAGGGCTTAGGGCTTAGGGCTTAGGGCTTAGGGCTTAAGGTTTAGGGTTTAGGGTTAGGGCTTAAGGTTTAGGGTTTAGGGTTTACGGTTTAGGGTTTAGGGTTTAGGGTTTAGAGTTTAGAGTTTAGGGTTCTTCCGAAACTCCAACTGGCCCAAGGGGTCCTAAGTTACCTACATTGTAGAAAGTAGGGCTTTCTGAAATTGGAATTACCATTGCGGTTCGGGTAGGTGTCCCCCCATATAGGTACTTAGGACCCTTGGGGTGGGATGTCAGCAGGCAAGGGGCAAGGCTTCGCTGAAATTGAGGTCTTCAAGCGCGGGCAGGGATGAGAACCACAGCTCCAGGTGAAGCAGGGGCGCGCCCAGGAGGGCTGCCTAGACCCAGGGGGCAACCTAGGAATAAAAAGGGTCCCACTTTTTTGGCTTTAAGGGGGATGAGAAGGGAACCCAAACCCTCAAAAAGGAAAAAATTGGGCCTACTCCGGGTCCTAGCTGCTATGCCATGGGCTTCTCGCAGTGATGGCCCTGAGAAGCGAAGCTGCAGCGTCTGCAGCTGTGGGCAGAGCGCCTCGCCGACTTCGAAGGTTGTGAGCCCTGTGTGTCCCAGGTCTAAACGCAGACTCAGAAGAGCCGTGGGCCTTAGTTCATAGGCCCCAAGAAAACTGTATACTTTCAGTTCTATAGGGGGATTATAGTATTATTATATCCCAACAAGTGTAAAGTGCACTCCCCCAGCTTCTAAGGGGCAGGTGGGCCATCAGCGCCCCGAGCTCTGCGTCTCGGAAGTGCTTGCATCCAGTCAGGGAAAGCCGCAGGGCCGAGCGTGTGGCGTCTGCATGGAGCGCACGCAGGAGACTGCTTGCATCCTGATCTTGGGCATGGCATGCGTAGAGGCTGCTCATGGCAAAATGGCCAGCCAGCGCTCGGTTGACCATGCCGAAGCGCTCGTGCTCCTGCACTGCCACCTCATCCAGCGTGCGCGTTCTCGCCAGTGGGCATGCAATGCTGTTCAAGATCCGCTTCTTGTCCTCCCAAAGAGTCTCCTAAGTACCTACATAGTAGAAAGTAGGGCTTCTATATCACACACGGCAAAGACATATAGCCCATATAGGGTACTTAGAACCCTAAACCCTTAAACCCTAAACCCCTAAACCCTAAACCCTAAACCCTAAACCCTTAAACCCCTAAACCCTAAACCCTTTGGGTCCTCCTCCCTGGACGATTCCGCGAGCTCGATGCGGACCGACAGCGCACGCTGCAAGAGCTCCGCAGGAAAAGCCTCCTCGCGTCGGGACTTCGCAAGGAGGCCGAGCCTAGACCATGGCCGGGATAGCAGGTAAAAATCCAAATTTCTATTCCTTGTTGAGTTTAAGTACCCCTACACCCTAAACCCTAAACCCTAAACCCTAAACCCGAAACCCTAAACCCTAAACCCTAAACCCGAAACCATAAACCCTAAACCCTAAGCCCTAAACCCTAAACCCTAAACCCTAAGCCCTAAACCCTAAGTACCCACATGTAAAGTGTTACCCCACAATGACCAAGGAGCAGGGGCAGCAACTTGGCCTCCTTTCCCGCAAGGCCATCCTGGCTCAAGAGGAGAACATGACTTAGGGTTTAGGGTTTAGGGTTTAGGGTTTAGGGTTTAGGGTTTAGGGTTTAGGGTTTAGGGTTTAGGGTCTAGGGTCTACGGTCTAGGGTTTAGGGTCGAGGGTTTAGGGTCTAGGGTCTATAGAGTTTAGGGTTTAAGGTCTTATAATAAGGACCGCAAGAAGGTACCCCACACATCACAAACCCCCCACATGACGAAGTGCCGATGAGAAAATCTTGCAGGGCTGCGACCACTAACACTCTACACATTGACATCGATCTCAAACGCCTAGTTACCCAAAATGGGAGGCTACTCTACCCCCAAACTAGGAAACTGCAGCCCACATTTATCGTCTACTGGCTTTCAAGGTACTTCTACTTGCTTCCCTGCTTTGATTGTTGGTCGAAAGTTGTGTCCGTCAGGATGTGGGCCACATCGCCGCTGGTCGCTGCCACGTCCAGGTACAGGGCGGCAGAATTTTCGATCTGAGCGGTCAGAAGTGGAGGGGAGGGGGGGAGGGCGGGGGAGGGAGCGTCTTGAAACCGCAACCGAAAAGGCGGGCGAATTCCCTCTAAAAAACCGAGCGCAAACCCGCCGGAAACTAGTCACATAAGCCGGGCCGCCGCAATCGCCTCCTCGAAGCAGCCTTGGGGGAGCTTCAGGCTCAAAGAACCCAAAGGGCATAGAAACCCTACTTTCTAATATGTAGGTACTTAGGATCCTTTGGGAAACGATGCACAGGGAAGCATCCCTCATCGCTCACACAGAACGCGCGCCGGGCGGCACCAAATTCGCTGGAAAGGCGTGGCGGCGGCGTCCAGCACCAGAAGCACTCCCCGGCACAGCATCATCGCCAAGTAAAAAGACGATTTCCGAGGATCTGTCGGATGCGACTTGTATTGGTGAGGGCGATTTTTGGCTCAAGAGCAAAGTCCATCTGTGTCTTGTTCAAGGCTCTGTTGGACGGTGCTCTTCTGACTAAATAAATTCAAGCCGGGACTAGTCTAAGTCGTTGACGAGCAGTGCACCCTGAACCCGAAACCCTAAACCTAAACCCTAAGTCCCAGCACCCTGCCTGCGGGGATGGCGTGGCCAAGTGCCTTGGTGAACTTGGTGGACGTGTTACAGGGTCGAGAGGATGGGTGGTCTGGCTGGTTCTTCGTAGGGAATGAGGGAGGGACCTATAGGATCCCTTAAAGGGTATGTATGTGTATGTGTATATATATATGTATATATATATATAGATATATATGTGTTTTTTTGTGTGTTTTTAGGGCGGTGAAGGGGTGAGGGCCGCCAGGGTGCATGCTGATTGTTGGCATAGGCACAGACCCAATACGCAGTGTCTTGCCCCAACTCACGAACGGCCGCGTGGCGGCGAAGGCACCGCAGGAACAGCACCTGATCCATGAGGTCAGCGGAAGTTGCGTTAGGGTTTAGGGTTGAGGGTTGAGGGTTTAGGGTTTAGGGCTTAGGGTTTAGGGTTTAGGGTTTAGGGTTTAGGGTTTAGGGTTTAGGGTTTAGGGTTTAGGGTTTAGGGTTTAGGGTTTAGGGTTTAGGGTTTAGGGCTTAGGGTTTAGGGCTTAGGGCTTTCGGGCTCTCCTTATCTCTAAATAGACTCAAAAGGAGGAGCCGAACGAGGCGCAATCGGCTCCAGCCACGCGTGTGACACAAAGAATCCGGGACACTGCGCCGTGGCGCTCTCCGCCACTAACCTGATCCCAAAGGGTTTAGGGTTTAGGGTTTAGGGTTTAGGGTTTAGGGTTTAGGGTTGAGGGTTGAGGGTTGAGGGTTTAGGGTTTAGGGTCTAGGGTTATACAGTATATACTTGGGCCCTACAGTGACTATATTGGAACCCCTTTCAGGCCTAGCTATATCCCAAGTACCTACACAGTAGAAAGTAGGGATTCCATAATGGGAATTACTATTATGGTTTCAGTAAGTGTCCCTCATAATATGTACTTAGGCCTCTTTGGGTGATGCAGAAGACGAGGCGCGATGTATCACGTGCACGCATGTAGAATTGTAGGGCTGCACGCGGCTACTCACAAGAGATACCCGAAACCCTAAACCCTAAACCCTAAACCCTAAACCCTAAACCCTTTTTTCAATATGCCACGGAGCTCCACATAGCTGCAGCCGTGTCCACCCATTCCTGGGGTTATGGGGTCACAGAGGCTGCTCCGTGTCTTCGGCGTTTGGTTGCAACCAAAACCCAAAACCCTAAACCCTAAACCCTAAACCCTAAAACCCCTAACCCTAAACCCTAAACCCCTAAACCCCTAAACCCTAAACCCTAAACCCTAAACCCTAAACCCGGAACCCTAAACCCTAAACCCTAAACCCTAAACCCTAAACCCTAAACCCTAAACCCTAAACCCTAGCCCTACACCCTAAACCCTAAACCCTTCTCTGGCAAGTTCTGTGGGCGCTCCTGCAGTCGCTGGGTTCAAGATCCAGTAGTCGGCGTGATACCTTGGGCTCTGGGTCCACGAAGCGAATCGATGCATCGGCGATCACTACCCTAAACCCTAACTCCTAAACCCTAAACCCCAAACCCTAAACCCTCAACCCTAAGCCCTAAACCCTAAACCCTAAACCCTAAACGATCACGCAAGGCGCAGATTGAAGCGCTCGAAGGACAGAGGTAGCCCGCTCTCCGCGCCAAAAGTACCGGACCAAAGCTGCACCATTCCTCGGTTTAGGGTTAAGGGTTTAGGCATTAGGGTTTAGGGTTTAGGGTTTAGACATTAGGGTTTAGGGTTTAGGGTTTAGGGTTTAGGTTTTAGGGTTTAGCTTAAAAAAGCGGTGGGGTTGGGGGGGGGGGGGGGGGGGCGCAGCCCAAGCGGGGGGGGGGTTGGGGGGGGGGGCGCAGCCCCCCCCCCCATTTGCAAACTCAATGCTTGCATGATGAGTTTGCTTGCATGATGGGTTTCAAGATTCACATGCTTTGAAAGAAGCTAAAAAGCGGGGGGGTTGGGTTTAGGCATTAGGGTTTCGGGTTTAGGGTTTAGACATTAGGGTTTAGGGTTTAGGGTTTAGGGTTTAGAGTTTAGGCTGTAGGATTTAGGGGATCGAGCTGATGCGCATCCAGCGCGCAAAAGCTTACTGTTGCTTGGCAGGGAATGAGGGAATGAGGTACCATATATCCCCCTATAATATACCCTGTAAGGGATTCTATAGGGTACCTCGTGCTCTCATTCCCTGCTAACCGACAGTAAGAAAGCTCTTGTGGCATGTTAGCTGAGGAGGTGCCACTGGAACACATCTTTTCCCCTCAGCCCTAAACCCCAAACCCTATAAAATCGAAGTTGAGGACCGCACCTTGCATGAAGCCGAGCAGGGCCTCGTCGCAAGGTGCCACCGGTTTAGGGTCCAGCGTTTAGGGTTTAGGGTTCCCACAGATGACCACCCAAGAGTAGAATAGGGTACTAGTTCGGGGTTCTACTTCTTGGATCCTACCCCGGCTTCTGGGAAGATCGACGCAGGAGGGCCTGAATCGTAAACCCTAAACCCTAAACCCTAAACCCTAAGCCCTAAACCCTAAACCCTAAACCCTAAACCCCAAGCCGTAAACCTAACCCTAAACCCTAAACCCTAAACCCCAAACCCTAAACCCTAAACCCTAAACCCTAAGCCCTAAACCCTAAGCCCTAAACCCTAAACCCCAAGCCGTAAACCTAACCCTAAACCCTAAAGCCTAAACCCCAAACCCCAAACCCTATAAACCCTAAACCCTAAGCCCTAAACCCTAAGCCCTAAACCTAAACCCTAAACCCTAAACCCTAAACTCTAAACCCTAAACCCTAAACCCTAAACCCTATAAACCCTAAACCCTAAACCCTATAAACCCTACTGCCTGAATTTGCGGAATGGTGATGCCGCTGCGCTCCGTCGGGATTTGGAGTGGACTGCTGGCTGCATGTAGGCGGCCATAGTTGGCCAAGGCCAACCTGAGATGATGGCACAACCCCCACTCCCTAAACCCTAAACCCTAAACCCTACACCCTAGACCCTAAACCCTAAACCCTAAACCCTAAACCCACGGCCGAAAGCAAAGAAAGGCCGGCAGGCAGACATGAACAGGACACGTACTAGAATGCATATGCTAAACTAGCATGCTATATGGTACAGGAAGTACTGTATAAATAAATAAATATATATGTATATAATATATGTATATATACATACTATGTGCTACATACTACGGTGCATCGTACATCTTACATTCTGACGTACCATGTATGAATCTACTAGGACCCTTTGGGCAAGTGTTGCCCAAATGCACGGCAAGGAACGCTTGGCCAGTCTCTCTTTCCGGCAACACCTCATCCGTGGCCGCGAACTTTTGCGGGCCGCGGGACAGCAAGACATTTCCATGTCGAGGATCTTCAGGAATCTTCCTAAGGCTTAGGGAAATTGAGGGTTTAGGGGTCAGGCCTTGGGGTGGCCCAAGAGTAACCTGGGAAAAAAAGGGGTGCCCTTTTGGCATAAAAGGGGCTTCTAAGGAAAAGGGGCTTCTAAGGGAACCCAAACACTAAAAAGGGAATAAGGGCTTACGCTGGGTCCTAGTAACTGCAAGCTTGACAGCAACTGGAAGGTTGAGCTGAACGGTAACACTTGACATCTTCGACCAGGCACGCGTGCACCGCTTCTATAACATCACCTGCAACAAGCAGCTCTGAGGGAGAATTTGACAAAGCAGCTTCGCACGTCAGAGCAAACCTGTGCTCAGCTTCTCTGTATATCCCAAAGGGTCCTAAGTACCTACATTGTAGAAAGTATGGTTCTGTAATGGAAATTACTATGACGGTTTGGGTAAGTGCCCCCCCATATAGGTACTTAGGACCCTTTGGAACTATTGCTCCGGGGCACCTGCAGTGGCAGCCCCCTCGATGGTCACATGCACGGCCGTGGCAAATGATAGATGCACATCGGCAGAAAAGCCACCGGAGGCACGGCTCTCTGTGTTGTTCGCCATGGCGCTGCCATGAATTTGGGCGCTGCCTTGTGCACCGCCCCTGGATTTAAGAAATTTTGGTACAAGGACTTCTGGCTGTGGAGCTGCTCTTCAAGAACATGAATCGTATACTTGCGCCTGTGATCAGAATGATGTATTTGCAACTGGCTCTGCAAACTGCTTTTGACACAGAAGAATGTTCGATGCATCCACCTTCAACTCCATGCGTTTTGTTGCAAAAAATCGAGACGTACGGCAACGGAACAGGGAAGTCATGAAGCAAACGTGGAAAACATCATGGTGCAAACAAAAGCAGTTTTTGAACACCAAAGAAACATTCTCCTCTAGTTGTCCAGTAACCTGGGGGAAATTACAGGTTAACCTTTGGGAATTTTTTGGGATTATACTACCCCAAGAAGGTTAAAGGCTACCTACTCTACTACTAGGCTATAGAGCCCTTGAGGGAGGGGGGGGGGGTTCAAGGGGGGGCATGTAAGGGTCCCGAAGCTTCCGAAAGATTCCCTACGCAACTACCCCCCCCCCCAAAACCCCAAAACCCCAAACCCCAAACCCCAAACCCTAAACCCTAAACCCTGAACCCTAAACCCTAAACCCGAGACACAAGCCGTCACGAGCCACGAGGAAGACAGGCATGAGAACTCCAACAGTCTACTTTTTGCGGCGCGCCCTTTGATCAAAACTTGTCTTGTTCCACAGTTCAAAACCGCATGGTGTAAATAAAATGATTGATCAAGAAGATCAAGAAGACTATTCTCTGCGGAGATGCGGCTGTAGTGCGGGCTGCCGCCATCGCATTCCAACATCTTTCCACTGCAGCCCAGCTGTGCAGCTGTCATGCGTGCAACCTCTGACATGTGGACCCCAAACCTCCTGAACTATCCCCTGGCCCAAAAAAAAAAGCCGACGAACTGCATACACCCCACCCCCCACCCCCAGGGGGGGGGGGGGGGGGGGGGGGAAAGCTCATTGTCCCTGCCTGCATGGCTCTATCATACAGGGAACATTGGATGTGAATGGTTTAGGGTTTGGGGTTTAGGGTTTAGGGTTTAGGGTTTAGGGCTTAGGGCTTAGGGTTTAGGGTTTAGGGTTTAGGGATCCAGCCCACTGTGGCGCCTGGTAACAGCCCCGCTTGAGGGCGAACTCGGTGGCCTGCTTGACGCCTGCGCGGTATGGGAGAGGGGAGGGGGTGGGGGCTATGGGGTTTGGGGTTCACTGTTTTAGCGGCTTAGGCTTCAGGTTACCTTAAACCCTAAACCCTAAACCCTAAACCCTAAACCCTAAACTGCAGGGCTTATGGGGTTTAGAGATGCTGGGGCTTGGGGTTGAGGGGTCAGAGGGCTTTAGGGGCTCCGGGGTGCATCCCACAAAAGGCTCGCCATGTTTCTACCATGCTATGACTGCTAATTTTGTTTAGGGCTTAGGGTTTAGGGTTTAGGGTTTAGGGTTTAGGGTTTAGGGTTTAGGGCTAAGGGCTAAGGGCTATGGAGGAATGCGATTCTACTTACGCCCGAGCTGCTTTAATGAGTCAATGGGATGGGGGTTTCGATGCCCAGGGGCTCCCGATGTGGGGCTGTTTATGCGACTTACAACCTGACATGTAGCCATGCACGTCCAGGTAGGACCTATGAACCCTAAACCCCCAAACCCCTAAACCCTAAACCCTAAACCCTTAACCCTAAACCCTGAACCCTAAACCCTAGACCACAAAACAGAAGCCCTTAAGAACCCTCCCCTAAACAGTAAAGCCTGATACTACAGACCCTTATAACGCCGAAGGCTCCACTACACTTCATTGGCCAGACCCGAACCCTAAACCCTAAACCCTAAACCCTACACCCTAAACCTTCAACCCTAAACCCCAAGCATGGAACCTTACCGTCCGCCCACCCCAATGAGAACCCAGCGCTCCCAAAACCAGGCTGCAAGTTTCCCAGACCCAAGAGTAACCTAGAAAAAGGGTGCCCCATTTGCTTTAAAGGGGATAATGAGGAGCTCTAAACCCTAAACCCTAAACCAAGAGAACAGAAGCACCTAAACAAAGGGAAATGAGGTCCTAGTTTCAAGTCTCCACGCGCCGTGCTTTGCTCAGCGTGCACTCCGCCAGCGCGCTGCTGTTCTCTTGGTTTAGGGTTTAGGGTTTAGGGTTTGGGGTTTAGGGTTTAGAGTTTAGGGCTTAGTGCTTAGAGCTTAGGGCTTGGGGTTTAGGCCTCCCCCTCCTGCACCCCCCCCCTAGAGCCTCGAACGGTTAGGCTTTAGGGTACGGGGTATACGATAATCCCAAACCCTAACCCTCAACCTGACACCCGAACAGGGTTCAAATGGTTCAAAGGTATACAGGGGGTAAGAAAAGGATAAAATGTGCAAAATGGCACAAGTGTTCCTCTGAGCTTCGTAATCCTCTGGGGTGCCGACATAGCTGCAGTTTTTGCAGCAGTGCGGCTTCCTGATCCGAGAGAAGTTTAGAGGAGCTATTTAGGGTTTAGGGTTTAGGGTTTAGGTTTAGAGTGTTGGGGGATCTGACAAAGATCCCCGATACTTCGGCCTAGAACATATGAATCCAGGCTCAGACCCCTAGTTTCCTTGTAGGGTCTAACAGTGTTCCATAACCCTGATAACCCCTTCTTTCACCTTGCAGCACTCGCTGCGGAGAGAACCGTGACGTGTTGCTGAAAAGCGCTCTCTTGCATTTGTCAAAGCAAAATCTGTTCCAACAGATCGATACCCTTTGCCCTTTGCTGCACATTAGCGATGAAGACCTCGTTCGTGCCGGGTGCCTCAGTCGAAGATATATCAGACCCTACAAACGTAAAGACCCTCTAGAACCACACCACACCCTGTACATAAAAACTTCCAAAAGCCTCTCAAACCACACAAGAATCTCCCTAAACCCCAAACCCCAAACCCCAAACCCTGAACCCTAAACCCTAAACCCTAAACCCTAAACCCTAAACCCTAAACCCTAAACCGATACAAGGAGGGGCCCTTGAAAGTTGAGGGCTTAGGATGTAAGGCTTTAGGGAGGGAATCTTCATCCTGCGTCCTCTAGAACCCCCAGTACACATTCTAAGCCCTAAGCCCTAAGCCCTAAGCCCTAAAGCCCTAAAGCCCTAAGCCCTAAGCCCTTAGCCCAAAGCCCTAAACCCTAAGCCCTAAACCTGAACCCTAAGCCCTACACCCAAATATAATAAAATAGCCCGAATATCATCCCTACGAGTTCCATTTACAAGAGGTCCGCTTCCAAGCCATAACTGGGTTGCAAGCCACATTCCTCAACCTCGCACCCTACACCGTAAAGCCCAAACCCTTTCCAAACCCCAAACTACAAAAACAAGCCTAAAACTCTAAACCCCTAAAACTCTAAACTCCAAACTCCTAAACCCCTGAACCCTAAACCGCTGAGCCGTAAACCCCAAACCCCCAAACCCACAAACCCCCAAACCCACAAACCCCCTAACCCCTAAACCCTAAACCCCCAAACCCTAAGCCCTAAGCCCTAAACCCTAACCCTAAACCCTAAACCCTAAGGCTTAGGCCGCCTCCGGGGGCTTCAGCCCCTCCGACCTCGATGGCCCTCAATACAGTACTACTGGACGGAAGAAGTTTTGTTGGAAGTAGGCGATTGACTTGGGGAACTCCCAAATTAAGGGGTTGTTGGGGTCCTTATGGGTTTAGGGTTTAGGGTTTAGGGTTTAGGGTTAGGGTTTAGGGTTTAGGGTTTAGGGTTTAGGGTTTAGGGTTTAGGGTTTAGGGTTTAGGGTTTAGGGTTTAGGGTTTAGGGTTTAGGGTTTAGGGTTTAGGGTAGGGCTTAGGGTTTAGGGTTTAGGGTTTCTACCATTTTGGAGGCTCTATTCTCGTAAACCCCCACTTGAGTTTAGGCCTAAACCTTAGAAGGAACCCAGAGATCCAATACCCCTCAATGAAGGAATATACCCTTAAATTACATAGGGATCCTTGATATTAGTTAAGGTATGATATGATTAAAGGTGTATTCCTTATTTAAGCTCACGCCGTTGTTAGTGGCCCTGGGTAAAACGTTAGGTTTGGCACTTCTTGGTGACTTGTTCCGGTTGTCTTGTTGGGGTGGGGAGGGTTGGGAGGGGGGGGTGGGGATAAGAACGTCATTCATATTGCGTCCATGCACAACACACTGGTGTTTACAGCGTTTTCGCCTCTTTGTACAACATACTGCACAAGGATGTGGAACAAGAAAATCTGTCACAAGCGTCCATGCCTTTCGCGACCAAAACCGTGCTTTCCGTGCTTAACGTCTCTGCGCAGCCCCAAAGCCCTAAACTTGAACCACTGCAAGCCCGTTGCACCCTGAACACTCCAGCCGCCCAAAAAACATGCGAAATGCTGAAGACACTGGCGGGCGTGGCACTTTTCAAGATAAGACCACATTGCAGTTACCTCGTTCCACCCTGAACAGTGACAAAACACAACACCCAAAAACACGCAAAAGTCGAAAAAACGCATCCCCACAGTAAGCACTGCGAAATGCTGACAACACTGGCAGGCGTGGTACTTTTGAGCAACACACCACCTTGTAATCACTCCAAGTCCTGAAAAATAACTTCCGCCGACAAAACCCTTGTTTTTCGGGAACACTGCCCTGCGTGGGTTACAACCACATTTCCGCGCGCAAACGGTCCAGGGCCGCGAACACCGGCGTGACCTTATTTAAGGGGTATTGGGCTCTTTGGGAACACGTGAGGGTGGTTTTGCCGCCTGAGACTGGCGTGGGGTGGGTTTAAGCGTTAGCCGTCGAGGCAAGGCTGCATCCCAGCCTTCCACAGCTTCTGCGCAATATCACGGCAAGGCCCTAAACCCTGAACCCTAAACCCCAAACCCTAAACCCTAAACCCTAAACCCTAAACCCTAAACCCTAAACCCTAAACCCAAACCCCAAACCCTAAACCCTCAGCCTCCGGGCCAGGATGCTCCGCGGCCTGAAGGCAGGCGCAGGCCAACTTTGCAAGGTTTTCGGGCTTTCTGGTTTA